AATTCCGCATTTATTTCCAATAACATTGCAATAAGAAAATGTATTGTTTAATGAAGGATTCCAAGTACCAAAACAAAATGATTGACTGCTAGTTTGATTGTTTTCTCTGAAAGTTGAGAAATTATATGAACCTGAACATCCCAAGAGTACAATAAACATTGATGAACATTCTTTACATTTGTTGTTTGTGATGTTGCAATTCTCAAAATGAATATCACCACTTCCAATAACAAATGTTACACTTCCTTTTTCTTCATTTTCACCGCATTTAAAAACCGAAACTTCAATCGCATAGTTTTTGTTGGATGGAGAAGGTTTAACGCCTTGACTAAATGCCATATTTTGTGATTCTGCTATTGATTTATAATAGCATGTTCGATGTTGAACAAACTGTCCTTCTTGACAGCCAACGAAAACAGATCCGCCATCCGATGCGGAACTACAGTTATAAAATACTGCTTCTTCAAGTAATACGTAAATAGTGTTAGATATTAAAATGAAAATGGCTCCAGTTTCTTTGCAATCTTCAAAAAAACAATCAAAAACATAATAATTGTTAAAACTACTATTATCAAATAATGCAGTTCCGTTATGTATCTTATCATATTTATCTTGACTGCCAAAATATTTATCCCAGCTGAGTTTTGTTGCAGTTTCCAAATTATATTTAGTTTCTACCTCAATCGACAAGTTATTTTTGGCTTATTTATCTGATAATGATGATTCCTCTTCTCTTCGTTCGGATCACAAAATTCATTCATGCATGAATTATACTAATATTGTCCAATTATAATGATAAAAATATTTTACGGGCGTAAACAATCAGATTCCAACGTATTTCCAATTAATTTATAATTTATTACAGACGTTACAAAATGGTTAACACATGTTTAAAATCAATGAAAAATTTTGAACTCCTCTGAAATCAATGGTGGCAAATTTTTAAAATTTTGAGGACAATTATTTGAGAGAAAATAAAGAATTATATTTTTACATCACATTTCAAATAATGCCAAACGAAACTGAAGCAGGGAATGTTAATTCTCCAAACATACCAAAGGAAGGATAAGGTATTCCTATTATTACAATTAATTTGCCTGAAATTGTTGCAAATCATTTTAGAGATAGAGCCCAGAATTCAAGTGAAATGGCACAGAATTTGTTCAAGAAATATGTCGATGCAGCATCACCAGGATATAGATATTTAATCATGAATTTGCTTTTCAATAGCTATATGCAAGCAAATTACACAGTGGATCGTTCAAATAAGGATTCAATGGAATTCCTCGAATCATTAAACCAGACCATAGCTATGATTTCAGTAAGACATATAAAAACAAGAGAAGTTGAAGGAAAAACTCAGACATTTATTTTTGATATTTGCGATGCGAAGATAGTGAATGGATGGAAACAGATGTTTGATATTGTTGGTGCTGATTATTATCATTTTAGATCCGACGAGTATCACCAAATTGGAGATGTTTTATGTTCAATGTATTTTTATTCTTAAGGATACCCTTACATTGCGTAGTTAGAAAGAGAATATGATATTGTCATGATTGCTAAAGTTTTAGGCTCCAGAAATGAATATACATCAAACTGAAACAATTGATAAATTGAATGAACTTTTGAGAGGTTCTCAAATAAAAAAAATTATCTAATTTTTTACAATATTACTATTATTTTATCCACATATGTATATATAGTAATTTGAGAAAACTTTTAGGAAAAAATAAGTTTAATAAAAATCTGAATTTTACTTGTTGTGGGATTGTTATTAATTGACACTCCAGACGTATTACTAATAGTTATGCGTATGCAATTAAAGTATTTCTGATGGACAAAATGTGAGATTTATATCAGATAATTCATTTCTACTATTAAGTTATTCATTTATGAGTTTGCACTTATTCGCACTAAATAAATAACTATTAAAAATTGTTTTAATTAATTGACACCATATAATAGAGTGAATTTTGTTTGATCAAACAACAATAGATGATAGATATAAAGCCAAGAAACTTGCTATTAATATGCTCTACTTGCTATTTCAATGTAAGTATGATATTTTCTAAATGTTTCGTTCAGATAACTTAGATATATTAGTCAAAATTTGAAATTTTAATAGCACATATATTAAAAATAATTATTATTCATAAAAGATTAATGAAATAGTAAAAAAATCAATCAAATTATAAAATACAACATTTAGAAGAATTCTTATTATCCTTCAAAAAGTCAGTATTTCTGCTGTAATTTTCTACAACATTGTAGTTATTGCACTTTGTCTATGGATTTGTATATATGTTATATATAAATTATATATCTAAACTGCCCATAAGTGCAATTTTTATATAATTTGTTTATTTCTTTAACAATTTCATATGAAATATGCTTTTTTAAGCGTATCAAAGCTGTGTTCTTAATGTGCATGGATATATCAAGAAAAATGTCGAAAAAAAATGTGAATTCACAAATTCACTGAATTTTCACCGTTTTTTGAATTTTGCTACAGCACTAATATTAAATAATACTAAAATCTTCTGTCTTTGTAAAAGAATAAATTCTGACAAAAAGTGCTCGTTTAAATTTAATGTTTATGACCAAAAAAGGGTTACATGCTTAGTCTATTTTTCTGACAGGATACTCTAGATTTACATGATCTCTATTTCATATCTCCGTTTTTAGATTCTTCGACAGATTTTATGATAGAAAACCAAGATTAACAAATTTCCGGCATGTTAATGAAGAAATCTGCAGCTACCCTCAATATTATTTCAATAATCAGTATCGTTTCTCTTACAATTTATTTTTTTCTCAATAATTTAACAAGAAATAACAATACACACTTGGTTTTACGTATAAAAGCTAAGTGTCGAACTTAATCAACTTTACTTACTTAGCAAATGAATATTTTTGTGGTTGCGAGTTCTGAATGCTGAAGTTTTAGATTTCTCTATAAATGATATCATTGCACTTACAATGTTGTTCCAGCCTATCGCATAAATCATAGAAAATCCAAAAAAAAAATAATATAAAGAAAATTCATGTCATGAAGTTCAAAAAATACCGTGTAACATTAAAATTTGTTATGCATAATACATTTTAGCTATTATTGATTTTTTTTAATTTTCGAGAAATTGAATGGTGAGTCCGATAGAGAAATTTTTAAAAATCCTAGTGCCTCATAGAAGTAATTTCCCTCGTCTCCCATACTTCCAAATGTATGCATATGACATAAACTTTTATGCATTACACAAGTGGCCAATAATATCTATAGAGTAAAAAATTAGAAATTTAATTTTTTTATATGATAGTTATATTTCAGATTTGCGAGCGTAACTTTTTTCTCCATGGCATACTTGTTTTAAGAGCAAATGATCAAAATCGTCCTTCAATTATTGAAGGAGCTGATATCTTTTGAAAATTGAATTGAAAGGGTATTCAATTTTCAAATTTCCTCTCAATTTTGGAAACATATCAACTCTATGAATTAACAATTATGTGCCTTCACAGTTTATCAGTCATATAAGGTGCTTATAAAGAAAAAAGTTACGCTCGCAAAATATGTTTTTATATAGATTTCACATAAAATAATTATGTAATTTCTAAAAAGAATATTTTTGTTCTTGAATATTAAAGTGTATTGTAGTTTAAAAAGTTTTAAATATGTTGCTAAAATTTCAGGTTTATAGCTCATGTCTAGCATGACTTCTTCGTATGCGCAAAAAATCTGACACGTAAGGGTATCCTTAATGAACAAATAAATGCGGGAAAATTCCCCAATTTGGGAATTCCAATACCTTCAAATGAGGAATTCCAAAATTTTATGAATTCAAAACCATGATTGTAACCTAAATCATATTTCTATTGATCTTTAACCAGTTTTGATATTATAAATATGAGTGTTGATTAAAATTCATATTATTAAAATTCATATTACTTCATCAAATTTATATAAAATGATATCATTTGCTTTGACAATAAAAAATGACTATATTGTATCAATTGTTTTAATGCATACAATTGTTGTATCGAGTAGGGGTAATTTTAGCTAAAAGTGACACACTTGTAAAAAGTGACACGCCCGTGAAGGGTGTGATTACCGATCGGTAATTTCGACAGTTTAGAATTTAAAATTTTTTATGGAACTGTTGCGAGTTTCATAAAGAATTTAAGGAATATAAGCAAAGATTTGAATCAAAATCTTAGACCTAAGCCGCTCGATTCGCTCGCGGCTTCCGCGAATTACAGATCAGCAAAGATTTGAATCAAAATCTTCGAACTAAGCCGATCGCTTCGCTCGCGGCTTTCTTTATTATTTTAAATTTGCATATTTCCATCAAAAGTTCATAAGGTAAAAAATTTCGTTTATTTTTACTAAGAAAAAAAAGGTTTTTGATAATAAATTTATTTTATTTCGAAAAAGTAGCAATAATCGTAAAAGGGTATTGATAGGCTTGCTAAAGTAACTAATTTTAGCTGTCAAATACTTTTGTATTTTGAAGTAAATTAGTATAAATTTGTTTTTACTTTTATTTCGAAAAAGTAACAATAATCGTAAAAGGGTATTGATAGGCTTGCTAAAGCAACTAATTTTAGCTGTCAAATACTTTTGTATTTTGAAGTAAATTAGTATAAATTTGTTTTTACTTTTATTTCGAAAAAGTAACAATAATCGTAAAAGGGTATTGATAGGCTTGCTAAAGCAACTAATTTTAGCTGTCAAATACTTTTGTATTTTGAAGTAAATTAGTATAAATTTGATATTATTTTAACTCCCTTTGAAAACCTCAATTTTCCATACAGAGGGAACGGGAATAGCATCCAATATTCCCTGAGAATGGTTGCGCATTCTCAGTTCCCTCTATATTTCGAACGAAGCTCTCATCGGTCTTTTTTTTTAATACTAAACGTTTTTTCCCCCTGTCACTTTTAGCTAAAATTTGGATTTGCCAATTTATACTGATAGAAAAATTGACAATTTTTTTTGAGATTTCATGTTTTTGTACTTAATTTCGTTTAAAATTGTCACAGTTAGTGAAACCTACTCTGATCCACGAGAAGAGTTTAAGAAACGTGAAGAGGATATGCGAATAAAAATCAAACAGATGAATGAGCAAATGTCGAAATTAATGATCGAGCAAGAGATGGAAGATCTTGGCCCAGAATCAGGGGCAGGCATACAATACAATGAGTTTAGTATTTCCAGTATTTATCCAAAGAAACTCGCAGCAAATGAAAAAACAGATGTATTATTATTCGTTGAACCTAAAATAAATCATACCGTATACTGCAAATTCGGCTCAATTGTTAAACATGGCATTATTGGACTTAATAATAGCATCAAATGCCAATCCCCTGCTTTACAGATTGGAGAAATCTATATCCAAGTATCAAACGATCGAAGGAAATGGAGTCTTCCAATCCTTGTTCAGGTTTACGATCCGAATGCCCCAACATATAACACTCCAAGCGCATTAATTTTCATGGGTGTTGCTGTAGCTGGTTATATTGTATACAAACTGTATACAAGACACCAGAAAGCCAAGAAAGGCGCAAAACATAAATACGAAGACGATTTAAACGATCAATACGATGAAAGACCAACAAATACCAAAAAATACAAAGAAACGAAGCAGAGAGAAATTACTCTTTAATACATGTTTATTCATTATGATATTGTTATTAAAAGTTTATCAATTATACAACAAAAATAAATTGTATTTAAAAAATAAGCAGTTATATTTTAATTAAACTCTATAAAAATATAAATTTATTGATGATTATTCATAAACTCGTCGATTTGTGCTTGCATCTTGGTAAGCTTTGTCTGATTAGTAGATACAAAAGATTGATAAGCATCAAGAAGGTCTGGAATAACAGGAACTTGTAGCAACTTCTCTGTAACAAAATTAAATGCCTTAATAGAATAAACGTAGTCTCTATCGAGTGCATTTGCGTAATTTTGCTGGGCATCTTCAGAAACCATGTAATCTGGGAATGCTACGAACATATCTTGAAGGACATCCATGAGACTCTTGTTATCAGCTGTTCCGTAGAACTTTCCTAATAAAATTAACTGATTATCTTGTAATTGGATGTTATTTGAGGAAATAAGTTCGAAAATGAAGGCAAGGGACTCAACAGGAGGCATCTTCATGGCGAAGAGAGCATTGATAAGGCTTGTAATGTTCTCTTCTGTTAAGTATCTTTCTAATAAGGCGAGAAGGTTAGCTGTTGAGGTAATATTGAAGTTCTGTATGCAGATATCGATAAGAGATGGAATGTATTGCTCGCATTGGTCTGGAAATTCTTCTAAAACGTCGGCAATAACTTGGAAAACATCTTGACCAAGATTTGCCTGTTCGAGGATGGAGAAGAGGCCGGAAATGACTTCATCGGATGGAGAAGTCTTGCTAACAATGTAGTATGCTAAAGCTCTGACATTTGGAGAATATGAAACGTCAGTAAATGGAGTAACAATGCTGAAATCAATGTCACCGCCACCAACAACGGCAAATGAACAAAGTAAACCAAGTGCGGCAGAGTAAATCGGCTCATTTTGATTTTCAAGCCATGATCCAATGGATTGATGGAAATTACTGTTAGCCAACAACATACCAGCGTAATCAACATCGTCAAATGAGTTGTCAACTAAAGCTGTGAAGAATTGGATAACATCTGGATCTGGCTGAAGGTTTAAGAGGAAATCAACTGGAATTTCTGAAGCATACTTGTCACCTTCGCTTGGTCTGAGTGAATAGAGATGGCGATATGCAGCACAAACCATTCCAATAATTTGTAAGTTAAATTCGTTGAATGATTCGATTAATTTGTGGAAAATATCGGAAAGATAGAGATTCTCAAATCCTTCCTGATCTTCTGTTGCGTTAATGAGAGAAATAAATCCCATTTTGCGGCTTTCAAGATCTGGTTCAGTAATCTGGGAGACAGCAACGGTTAGATTGCCATAGATAAAGCCAAAGTTTAATTCTTCCTTGATAGTTTCGTTTGACATCTCTTTTTTTAAAATGAAAAATTGATTTTTTTTAGCTAAAATTTGTAAAGTTTAGAATTTTTAGTTGTGTCCCAAAAATTTTCTGGCTATCATCAATTTTTTTGCTTTATTAGACACAATATACATAGAATCATCTAAAATTCATAATTTTCATGTTTCCAGTTTTTGATTCCATTCTTGATGGCTTGGTGAATTCGAATCAACAAGGTTGAACATTAATCATTAGCACCACTAATTTGCCTTGTGACCACTTATTTTCATTTCAACTCAAGTATCTTGCAATTGTCACAATTCAACAAAATCGAATTTATTTTGAAGACAATTAAAAATAAAACTCGAAAAACAAGAAAACTCAGTTCTAAACAATAAGTTTTATGTGTTTTTGTTATTTTTTACAACCGCATTTTGTTGCTCAATGAAGGGCAGTTTTTCCGTTATTTTATTCTTTATTCACCCCAGAATTTTCAAATTCTTCCCCCTTTTGAACGTTAGATGAGCACCTCGTTAGTGAGGGCTTCTCACCTAACGAATCGGCAAGGTGGTTGTCGATTTGGGGTTATCACATCACGGCGTCCTAAAACAGCGAATCCACAGACCCGTCGTGTCCCCACCCTCCCTTTTACGTTAGATTTATTGAATAAATACGAAGGGAGCAAAGAAGAAACATCACTTGTTTCTACACTACGCGAAGAAACAACACTATCTACACCACGTAGCATTCGTGAATTCATCGAGACAAGTTCAATAGATTCAATCAGAGATCACTCAGCTTTAGTGATACAAAGGAACTGGCGAACTCACAGAAAACGCCAAAGACTCGCTAAAATGTTCGATTTTTTCAAAAAAATCAGGCAAGTTAAATATACACACGCATTTGCTGCCTGGAAATTGGCATTGAATCCACCAGCAGACGTTGCACGCAAGTACTACGAAAAATTCATCTCATTCTCAGATTTATCAGGTATATTACCCATCCAAACTTTTTTATTACAAAAAACTTCGTTTAATACATACATGAAAACGAATTTCCTCTTAATGAAACCATCACTCAACCATGAAAAAGTCACACAAGTCGTTGTCAACTTCAACAAACCACGAATTTCCTTATTTTTCAATGCATGGTTACAAATATCTCAAGAACACTCAGTTCTCAAACACTCACACGAATCGATCTACAATGTAGGCAAGAACAGGATCCAATTCGGACCGTTGTATTGGGCCTATCACGTTTGGAAAAGATGGGCTTACTTACATCGCAACCATAAGAAAGGCATTTACCCAGATCCTAAGCGCTTTTTCTACATTCCAGAGTGGAACTACGCACTTGCAAACAAAGAAAAACAAAAGCGATTAATACATGATGCGGATCTCCAACACAGAAGGTTTCTCATTGTCAGAGTCAAGAAAGCCCTACGTAAGAACTGTCTTTACAAGATGAAACAGCAACACAACATCAAAGATATACAAACAAAAGTTAATAAGATCGTAATGGTCAAAGCTTACAGAGGATTTATGACACTTATAGCCAGTTACAAGCTCAAACAGTCCATGCTCACAAGAATCCTCAAGTTCTGGTATACGTATGTTGACAAGAAAAGGATGTTAGACATGTTTAAAGACATTCACTCACAAAGAACAGTTTTATTCACTTTAAACAAAATGTTTAGACAGTGGAGATTGAATATTGTTGAGATTGGTGCTTATTCTGCTATGATACATGACATGATCTATGATAAAAGATCAGTAATTTTAAGATGGGTCTTCCTAATGATGGGAGATTCACTTCACTTCACTTTTTATTCAAGTTTTGTTTGTTGGCGCAAAATCATTTTGAGTAAAAAGAAAACAAGGAAATTCATGGAGTGGTCGAAGTATCATTCCAAGCAGCAAGGTCTCAAGAAGTTTGTTTTGGACTGTTTCAGAGTCAAAGCAAATTTCAATGTTGACAAAACAAATTCAAATCCGTTCGGAGGAAGAACGGTTTTGCCACAAATGAAAAAGTTGAGAAACCGCCAAGTGACGATAGACAGTCCGACCAATTATTTATCCAACACATTGCACGCGTATAATAATACAAATGAGTATTATCCATGCAAAGAAGATTTGACACAATGGGACAAAAATGATGTCAAAAATTTGTTTTTACAGGTCACTTTTTTGGTTGCAACGAGATCAAAAAGTGATGTCAGCACAACAGATCCTAAGAAGAGGATGAATGAAGTTAAGAACTACAGGATCAAGAACATGTTGTTTAATCAAGCAGGATTATCAGAACACAGACAAAAACAAGCTGATAATGATCTCAAATTGAAACAAATTTGGAGAGAAAGATTGAGAAGAGATTCCATCATGATCTTGTCAATGGAAGCCCATGATGAAGCGATTGAATACAACAGGATTGATCCTAAATTCGGTTTACATGATGGTCCAATCATGTATACACACAAAGAAGACACAAAAAATAATGAAGAAGAAGAATACGATGAAGAAGAAGAGATTTCATTTAATTTCAGCAGAGGAAAAGATCCTAAACAACGTCGACATTCAGTTCGTCCAGCAAATGAACCAGTTCATCCTCTCATGAAAGATATTCCTGTAATTAGAAAATCAGTTATAGATAATGTCAGAAAATTCCGACGTTCTCCTGCAGAAATTTTCATTGAACGTGTTACTCGAAAAACACTTAATTCACGTGCATTATCACAAGCATCCCAGAATCTTACATTGTCACGACAATCTTCTACATACGATTCATTCATTCCTATTGGTTCATTGTCTTCATCATCATTTAATTCGAGTTCATCTTTCCAATTACAAGGAATTGGAGAAGCACTTGATTTGAATGTCAATAAGAACTTCCATGAGATACAGAAACTTCCAACAACAACAGTTATCCAACCAAATGATGATATCAATGTCAAATTAGGTACACAGAACTTAAATGTTGGTCATGTTCAAAAGAAAATCAACTTTGGCAAAATTTCACCACAAAAATCCGGTGGAAAAATGGAAATCATCAAAGAAGAGAACAACGAAGAAGAAAATTCAGAAGAAGATCAAAACATTGAATCCGATCACGAATCACAAAGTAGCAAAAAAGAAACAGAACAAGAAGAAGCTCTTAAGAACATCCAAATTGACAATAAGAAAGATCGAATCAGTCTCGAAGAGTTAGCTATGAGTTTCTTGAACGAAAACGAAGCCAATTTCGGATTGACAGATTCTAATAACGAATATTCCATCTTGACAAAGAAATACATTGGCATCTTGGCCACATTGTTAGGTTTTCGTGGTCATCTTGCAGTTCCACAAGTTGAAGGTAAACCAGTTCAAAACATTTCCACTGAGTTCCCTGCAGTTTCAACAAAGATTTCACGATTAGTTCGTCGAATCAATGCAACAGAGCCACATCTTCTTTTCCCTCCTCGTTCTGAAGAAAAAATTGCTTCAACAAAGAAACTTCCACAAGTTTCACAAGCTCCACCTGTTAAAGAACGTAAGCGTCAAAAACTCTTTGAAGAACGAGGAGAAAACTTTGAAGAAGTCATTGGCGAAGATGGAAAAGTCTACAAGAAATCAAATTGTTCCGAATTTTCAGGAGTTTTATTCAGTGGTGAACAAGTTTTGACATTAGCTCCATGGGAAAACCGTAGTGAAGTTCGCAAGTCTAATGAAAACTCCGCACGCTCTAGTTATGCATCACTCCCAACAGCAAAGATCACTGTCAAAGGCTTTGAAGACATTCCAGGCATGTCAGAACTTGTTAAAGAAGTTTCATCATTTTTAGGTGGAACTTCCAAAGAAAATGAATATTCAGATCTTGACGAAACTAACGAACAGGCAGAGAACCAAACTAAAATTGTTAAGAATGCGCTTGAAATTGCAGATGGTGTTGCACGGAAACTTCTTAAGAAAGAAGCAATTAATACTCCATTTGATGAAATCTTCAACTTTGTTGATACAACAGGTATTATTTTGCACAATGACAAAAAGCAGCAAAAGGATAAACAAAATAGATCAGAAGATGAAGTTTCTGTTTCTAACATTTCTAATGATACAATGAACAAACACCATGCATTCAACACGGCATCACGCAATCAACGATCCGGATTGATTATCATTGAACAGAAACTTACATTCACACAAGAATTACTTCGTGCCATCAAAGAAAGTTCCAAACTTATGAAACCACACTTAATCAAGTATTACGGCGATCTCAACAAGATTGATCCATTCAAAGAATATTCCACACTTAAAGATAAGATTAAGAAACGGCAATCACAAATTAACAAACAATCTAATGTATCAAATACTCATGAAAATCCATCTAAGACACAATTATCTAGAACAGAACCATTTATTAAAAACACGAATTCTAATACAAGCCGAAGTAGTAAAAGTGAAATCAAAGTTCGGAAGAAAGTCACATCAGAAACAATCCAACCAAAGACATCACGAAGGAGTAAGATCAAAGAACTTGAAGAGATTGATGTTGGTGAAGGCGAAGTTGCATTGACAATTGGTGGTCGTCTTAATTCAACTGAACATCCAACAAAAGTTAACAAACGATCATTGACAACACTTTCACATCGTATTTCACGTAACAGCAACGATCGAGACCGAAGTGATTTAGTTGTTAAAAGCTCTCGTATTAATAAACAAGACTCAGGTGATCTGTGTTTAACATCACGTAAGATGACCCCACATTTATCTATTGCAACATTAGACACTACAAAGAGTTGTATTCGTGTTCATGAAGTTTCAAATGCTCGTCGTAAACCAAAATTCACAAATATGACAGCATCAACACCTAAGACTCCTGACACACTGATCTACGAACTTCCACGTCCTAAAACAGCCCCGCTTATTTCAGGAAACAAATTCAAAGTTGACATCTCCAAAGAAGAAATTGTGAGTGATCGAGACATTGATTTCTTTATGTTTGTTAGTCCTTACATCATTCCACCCGAACTTCTTTCTAAACTTCTCGAAGAATGCGAACGTATTGAATCACAAACAGTCAACACAGCACGTACCTTACCACATTAATTTTAATTTTTATTTGTTATTTATTAATTTTGTTTGATTTTTATATTAAAATTCAATTTGTTTGTTATTTTATACATTTTATCATTGGACAACTCAATTGTGTCATTCTATCACTTTACTATTTTAGCATTTGCGCTTGAGACTCCATCAACTTATTATTTTGTAGTTACTAGTTGAGTGGAAAGCATCTACAGTTAAGATTTATGAACTCATCATATTGCTTTAAACTTTCTATTATTCAGTCTTATATATACTTTTTACATAAGTATTTGTCGTTAATACTATAAGCGTATTTTTCTAAATCAAAATTTGTAGCGAATTTTTTTTATAAATTCACCGAAATTGTCACTTTTCTAATCCAAATTTTCTATAAATGCACGATCTTTTACAAACATGGAAGGCAGATATTGATGGAAAACTTAAAAAATATCAAAACAGTGTTGATACTAACAAATCCTCTCTTGAAAAACAGATCGCTAAACAAAAAATCTTCTCAAAACAAGATAATATTGATCTTATGGTTTTAAATTACGTCAGAGTTCAAGCCTATCAATCAGTACACGAAAAAATATCCCTTATTTTTAAAAATGTTGCATTTATTGAAAAAAAAAATATTAGTGACGATATAAAAGCCGCAATCGAATATCTAAGTTCCTTTGAAAAACTAGAAGGAGATAAAACAGCCACAAATGCAATGAAAAAACTCAAAAAATACTATACTTGTTCAAAAACTCCAGTACCCGTTTCAAATGAAGTCAATTTAGCCTTACAACGCAAAAATTTCACACCAGAAGAATATGTAAATGTTATAGTTGAGATTTCTTCTCAAATTCACGATCAACATTACATTTTATTAAATCATATTGCAAATACTGCACAATACAAGCAAGCCGCTAAAGATATGCTTGCTCAACTACAACCACCGACACCAGTTTATACTCCTCAACCCTCAATTCCTCCAAATCAATATCCTCCCCAAGGATTTCCACAAAATATTCCACCAACACCACCGCAGTATCCAATACAAAGCCAAAATATGCAAGGCCAAGACATGCATCAGTTCCAAAACCCATTTTACAATCCAAATCAGCAACAGTTCAATATTCCTCCTCCGCAGTTTAACCAACAGCAACCACAACAGCCACAGAACATGGCTGCACCTCAGTATTCTCCTCCTCATTCAAATCCGATTTTTCCGAATCCGCAGTTTTCTCAATCCAACACTCCCAGCCAGATGTATCCTCCAAATCCTAACCAACCATATATTGCTCCGATCACTCCTCCTTCAAATCCATATTATTCCCAAAATAATCAGTCCAAACACCAGCCAATACAGTCCAGATCGTCAAGTTCATCAAGAATACAGAGTCCGCCACCTAATGTCCCACCTGGACAACCACAGAACTCTAATTCTTATCCATCAGCAATTCCAACTGGTATTCCTTCAATGTACCAGTCAAATTACATGTACCAGGACCAACAATCCATGTCAAAGAACCAATTCTACATAGCTCCGGGAAATTCTCAAACAAATAACCAAATTAACGAAATTCCTCAAGTTCCGGTTCCAACCGATACTGAAAACATGAAACCTGTGAAGCAGGAATCATCAACAGAATCAGAAATCAATGAAACAGAAAAGAATACACCTCATATCCCAATATTTAACCATGAAAAGGGTCCAGGAACCCCACAGAACCCTGACCAAGCTGATATAGTCATGCCTTTCTTTAATATTTCTCCTACATTCCCTGATGATGTTAATTTATAATTCGGATTTTTATTATTTTTTATTTTTATCATTGTAAAAGTAAATATTAAACTTTCAGAAACAATCTCTTCTTTCATCAAGACTTTATCCATGAGAAATTTAATATCTATCAAAAATAAGTAGAAAAGTGACCTAATCAAATCTGCATCCAATAATATTATCAGTGAAGATTATAATCATAATAGTTTTAGTGAACAAAATTATGATCTGTATGTTTTGATATGATATTTTCGATTAATACTTATCTAAACAAATCCATTTTGCTTTCATTCCAGTAAAAGTACATTACATTGCTATTTAACGAAATATTAGATTGTAGATTTTGCCAGCCTTGAGAGTTCAGCATTAATATCCTTACATTATGAAATTTTGAACAAACATCGATTTAAAGCTCATATTCCAAGAAATCTTATCAGCATAATTTTTTTTTGTTTGAAAATGGATTCTCGACCTGTTGTCAAACTTACCCTTGAGCATCCAAAGAAAACAGAAACGGACATATATATTACAAAAAGTATGGCACTAATGCCAATGGTAGAAGAAATAATCAAGAAACTTCACAATCATAATGAAATTACACTCCACGCAACAGGCGCTGCAAATTATAAAGCGCTAAAGATAGCAACAGTAGTAAAATCTATGCAGAAGGGCTTGGTTGAAGCAACAGTTACAACTCATACAGTATCAACAACTGACTTTCTCATTCCTACAAAAATAGGTGAAAAGAAAGAACAGAAGTCGCGTAATATGAACGCTGTTACAATTGTTCTTTCAATTAAATAGAAGCAAAAAAATTCTTTGTTATAGAATGTATAATATCTCTTGTTTTCTTTGTAAATGAATATAGTTTTTGAACTCTACTCACATATATTTTCCAATAAATGCATAAAAGTGTTTTTTTGATAAATTATATTCGATAAACTATCAGTTTACAGAGTATATATCAATCGGCATATGTTTGGGATCATTGCTATTGTAAAAAGCTTAATCTTATAACAGCTGTAAGTATATTTACGTAACCTCATCAATGTCAGTGGTATTTTGCATGATTAACTTTAAGAATTGCTTGGAAAACATAATCAAAGATAATTTCTATTCTATTCATAGTGGAATACCCGCATTTAATAATTTTGACATTTGAATTTACAAAAAAATTTATGAATTTCAAATAAAAATATATTTTAATTCCGGAATGACATAATAATATTTTGAAAACAGACCTTATGGAGCACTGTATTTTTCATGCAAGTTGTTTGATAAGAATGTAAGCCATACACCTGTGAATACACCAAGATTTGTCGCAAGAACTGTTGTGAATACACCAAGGTCAATTTCTTCTGTAGCTAGATTTTCGCAAGTTGCTGTATAAACAATACAAAGACCACCGAAGTAACCAGTTGTGACTGCGAGCAAAAATGCCATAACACACATGTATATATCACTTCTGAACTTTGGAACTTCTGCAGATACGACTATGAGAGGAATGAAAAGAAGTCTTAAAACATGTGGTATCCAGAGATACTTTGGCTTAGGGAAGAAGAACCATCTTGTAATGAAACGTCCCAAGAAATCTCCAACATTGTAACAAAAAATAACAGCTGTAATGAAATCTCCAAATTCTTTGAAATGTTGATTACCAGCATAGAACATATAACTTGGGAAGAATGTAAGAGTGATAGCAAAGTGAAGCCAGCCTTCAATAACGAAAGGCCAAATCTTGAGGAAGACTCCTTTGATTCTTTTCATTCTGAACATGAAATCATTGGATGTTTGAGCAAGTTTAAGTCTTTCTTGTCCAATTTCTGTCTTGCTGAAGAAATGGAAAGTAATAAGTGTTGAAATTGTGACCAAAACCGAGAAGAACAGATAGAAAAGTCCTTGTTTCTTTAAACTTCCATTAAACGCATTTTTTGCAATAACCCAAAGTATTGATGTAATTAAACCTCCAAGAGCAACGCCGGTGTTGGCTAAAGCCGATGTCTTTTCTCCAAAAAGACCAGCAAAACCCATTGATGATCCGAACATAACACTCTGAGCTGCAGATGTTAAAGCTGCAAGGAGATAAACAATGTAATACTGTGGATTACCAAAGTTGACATAGAAATAAATAACTATCTGAACAATTGCCATCATTGTTAAAGAAAAATAAAGTCTGGAAACAAGAGTAAACCTTTCAATGAATGGAAGTGAGCACAAGTTGCAAAATTCACTAGTTAAAATTAAAACTCTTGGAAGATCTCTCTGAATTTTCGCCAAACTTCCATAAGTATACTTTTGACCAATTGTTATGCTTTCATAGAAGTCTGTGCCACTAAGAAATGTATTGTAGCTGAACAAGATATTAATTCCAATAAAGAAGAACACAAGCTGAATGCCAATTGTGATTCTGCTATCGATATCATCTTTCTTTTCATCCATTTCCTTGCTTAAATCTTCATCAGATTTCTCTGGCTCTGCTTCAAGATCATGCATTGTTTCAGGATCTTCTTGATTCATCCTTTAATGAAAAATGAAATACAATGGGTTGACATTTTCTTTCAAATAATTCTATAGTATGCTGATTCAAGTTGAATATACATTGATCTTTCAAAATAGAATTAATCTGGATAGCGATTTAATATAATAGCACAGACGATTCACTCATCCATTCAAAATTTTTTAAAGAAATTTCTAAAGCACTTTTTCTATTTATGATAGAAATTTAAGAAGTATTCAAAAATATAAATATTCAATTTTTTAAAGCATGAATTAATGGCTCAATTATATTCAGTTCTCCTTAATATTTATATTTTAACGAATTTATTTTATCAGAAATTTTGCTTTGTAAGAGGTAGGGCAACGATAGGTCAAAAAGGCTTCTCTGATAGATTTCCTTGCCTTTTGGATATGCTATAATATATAGCCTAGCATGATAGGATATGATGTCAAAAGTTAGAACATAACTTAGGATCTTGAGAAAAATGAAAAACAAAAATTACATAAAAAAAGAAAAATTTTATCTAATTTGTTTTTTTGGACCGAATAAGTAATTTTATTGAATTTCAATACGACACATAGATTTTATTATTAGTAATAAATATAATGGTTTACTATTAACAAGGAACCTAAACTAATGAAAATTTGATTTCAAATATTGTATATGATTATCATAGATTACCAAAATATATTGCTATTTATGAGGATATAATATTGATTATTAGTAAATCGTATAAATTTAATAAATATACCATGAATATTGAATGAATTTCTTGATTCATAGGGGTAAACCGCGCTTTTATATGATTTAGACAGAAAATTTATGAGATGTAAATAACACAATAAAGGTTTATATTGAATATTTTCTAAAAATAAATCGAAATTATAAAAAACAATACATTTATTCATTGAAACTACTTGGACAAATATGAAACAAGCATTCAGGCAATACTTTTGAGACTTCAACGCATCTGATAATTTTTATATAACTTCACCTCTTATGCTTAGAGTGGATGTATTGAGATCGTATAAGTATAGATGAGCTCACATTCAGATATGATGTGTGAACTTCTGTTTTCACTGCAATTTTGAATCAGAATAAACTCAAAACAAGAATAAAATGATATACTCACTCTCTAAATGTGTTCGAGATTTAAAGTTGTATGAATAAAACGATTCATCTTTCGAAGCCTCCCATTTAATGAGAGACTTCGAAAGATGAATGTATTCATGTAGATGAAATACTATATATGACCATGTGTGATACTAAAGATATCAAAATGTTCATTTTTAAGTGCAATAGAAGGGTTATCTCTCGTAAAATCTCAATTTAAGGAAGATTTAGAAAGAACTCCTTTCCTAAGTAGATAGTGTGTGGTTTCTGTCTTTTGGTTGATCAGGAACTATGAAATTAAGTCGGACAGAAAGAAGTTCTTTCCAAAACAGACTCCAAATGAGTTGTTCGAAAAGAACTTCCTTCTGTATATGGATAATTGTAGTTACCGCACTGAAGTATGTGATTGTGATGATGGAGTTCTCGATAAATCTAAAATCGGATTAAGATTAATTGAAAACTCAAGTAATTCTTTGAAATCTTGTGTTGTCTGGCACTATAATAACCAAAGAATGAGAATATTATGTTGAATGATGAGTACGTGTGCTCGGCATTCGCCGAGCGAATTGAGTTTAACGTACTATGAAAAGTGACAAATTTGGGCTTTTTTTCCTAGGGTTATGATCTCTTCCTTTCTGCTCAATACGACAGAAATGAAAGAATGAATTTGTACTCCCTAATTGATTACTACAATCTGTATCTATCTTTAACATAGAATTAGCTGCATTGTGATTTATACTCCAGAATTATTCAATTTAAGATCAACCTCGTAAATTTTAATCATATTGCACCAATACTCCTACGTTGAGATAAGAACATGATTATACATACCAAAGCCCCATATTAAAAATCAAAATTTAGCACCTCCATTATGCAACCACCATCGCAAATAAGTATATTTACGCATATTATGATGCATATTCACACAACTCGTATACATGAAAAGTTATTAAAATCAGACAAAATTATTGCAATAAGGAAAAAAAACAACTTTATTATATATGTTAGTAATGAATTACAAATATTTCTACAAAAATGCTCAATACTTCATATAATCTTCGAATATTTCTTATTACAAGTTAATACATTTTGACTCGAACATGATAAACAAAAGCTGACACGCTGATTACTACATTTATGAAAATATAGTACGTTTCCATTCATCTGTTTACTTGTTTTTGTTGGAATAAAATCATTTTTTTTTTTTTCATGAAATAAGAATTTTGCTGCGAAAGCAATATCTCTAACAATAATTAATACATTACGTCAACTCTGGAATGAGTATTTATCAAATATGATATCAAAATCAAAAATTAGTTGTTTTTTATGAGTAAAAACGATGCAAATTGATTATTTGACTAATTATCAAATACTTTGATTTTCCAAATTTTTTTCGAAATTAATTTTTTCATGTGAAAATTCAAATTGTTTAATTTCATTTTTGAAATTTTGAATTTTTTTTGGAATTTTGAGTTGATCAATTCAGCAGAATTGATAATGCTATTGCTTTAGGGCATACCACAAGGTGATGAATAAAAGGTGAACATTAACAAATTATTTTAAATCACAAATATCATCCTCATCAACTTTAATTCTAAAAAGAACTGTACTGAATTATGAAAATGCATGATTTACATTATTAAAATCTTTGAATGAAAATAGTACAAGATAAGTTTTTATTCATTTTTAATTAGATTTAAACGAAAAACTACTCCATATTAAAATTTAAGTCGAGAAATCGTATTTTGTTCTTATTTGTTAGCATTTTGTAGACATTCTAATCTTGAATTAATTTGTTACATGATATTATTAACAAATTTAACTGAAAAAATATGTTAATATGGAATAAACCATGATTATATAAGCTATCAATGCTATATATACATATGTAAAAGATTCATATTAACTCAATTAACAAAAAATGATAGATTTTCATAAAGGTTCAATCTAGGTTCGTCCGAAAATTTTGATTTTTATATAGAAGACATAGTTTCATATACATAATTAAATTTTCAAACAAATTTGATCATACCATTTATTAAGCAGGATAGTATATTAATTACTATCAGTATAAAAATATAAAAATGATTATATTTAATTATTGCATAATTTAGTCAAAGAGTTATAAGCCTCAAGTGATCGTTATCACCTTCAATGCACGTATACTTTATTGATTCATAGATATTTAATCTATGTTTGACATGTTGTTGTCGTCATTCGTTTTGTTCCCATTCTTCCTAAGTTAGAATTAGAGAATACACCATCCACATCATCTAATTTGGTCCTCAGCGATAGATTGGTTCATTTTGGAGGAGTCCCATCAGACAGTTTTCGAGCACCAAATATCAAATTTTAATGTATACAAATCTTTAGTGATTTATCTCTTTTATGATGAGTAAAAGGTTTCTGCTCATCAACATTTGATTTCCGACATATATGATTTCTAATTGCAATTATTTACTTTCTTTTTATAATCTAACTCTGTGACTCATACCATAAATTAATTATTGGAAAGTGTCAATATGTTTGGCACAACGCATGGCGGAAGATACCAAACCATGCAGGGAATATGATACGTTTAAGATCTCCGAACTTTTTTCCAAAAATTTTCTATCGTTGCCCTACCTCTGCTTTGTAAGATTTATCCTTAACAAAAATACTCCAAATCAGTTGCACATTCATGAATCACCATAAAAATATTTTATGGGTGCCATAAAGTGAAGTGAAAGTTCATAAAAAGGCAATACTCAGAAATAGAACTCCAACTTTGTGAGAAGAAAACATCATTACAGTAATAAATATTCTATTATTCCTATACACTATTATACAATTTTAAGGTTAGTAACTTCCACTGTAAAAATTATTTTGGATGATAAACTGATAATTGAGACAAAAATATATAATAGCATGAACAATGGTATCAAATTATGCAATGACCTAATATTTTTTAATTTAACATTAATTTTATTTTAGAAATTTAATGGACACAATTGATGTTATCTATACCATAAAGTTAAAAACTTGTATACATTAGATTGTCTTCTATTACATTGCTTAAAGAAATGAAATATTCATTTTACTTAAATTAATTGGGGTTTGCCTTTAACCCATCATTAATGCTAATAGATCTAATAAAATTGAGATGATCATATACATTATGCTTTAGATGTGTTTTTCTTGAATTTAAGTAATTCATTTTGACAAGTTAATACTTTAATAAATTTCTATAGAAACTGATAGTATGCATTATGCATAGTTATTCATAGAATTTTCAGTTAATTTTGATAAAATTTTATGCAATTACTGCAATTACTGTTATTATTACTTAATATATACCAATTTTATACTAGAATAGAATCAATAATCTATGTCATTCTAAAATTGCGTCCAAAATTTCAAGATGAGAATTCATTTTTGCCATGAAAATCCACAAATTTATGTTAACTAAGATGTTTACATAGTTTAATTTCCGAAATGCAATAAAACTGTTGTGGAAATTCCCAAGGTTACATTTTTGAAAGGTTTACATGCTGATTGAATCATTTTTATTTCATTTATTTTTTACATCTCAAACATATTTTTAGGAGTATTAATTCATTCACCCAAAATATTGGTACTGTTAATGATCTAATATCTGAATTTGAAGCATTTTCTCTGAACAATCTCGGTAAATTTAACCTTATTTCCAAATAGGTATCCGATTAAAATGCTATTGATAAAGCCTCTACCAATATAAGAATAGAAAACAAAAACCACGATCTGTTGCCAGATTTGTCCAATGTTTGTTTCTTATATTTTTTGTTACACTGATGAAAGCTTTTTGAGTATTCTTTTTTTTTCGAATACTTAATAATCCTATTTACCAATTGCATCTTTGAACAACAAAAATCAAATCATGCTTTTGAAGATTTGATTTTTGTTGTTTGGTAAAAAAAGGATTATTTTTCGTATAAAGATATCTTTAATATATTATTTGAAATACAAATATATGATAAAACGCATAAATTACTGTGGACTATATTTCTCGTGAAGATTGTTAGATAAGAATGTAAGCCATACACCTGTGAAAACGCCGAGATTTGTAGCAAGAACTGTTGTGAATACACCAAGATCGATTTCTTCAGTTGCAAGCTTCTCACTTGTAGCTGTATAAACAATGCAAAGACCGCCGAAATAGCCTGTTGTTACAGCAAGAAGGAAGGACATAATGCACATATAGACATCGCTTCTGAGCTTTGGAACTTCGACTGAGACAACAATAAGTGGGATAAAGAGAAGTCTTAATGCATGTGGGATCCAGAGATACTTTGGCTTTGGCCATAAGAAGAATCTTGTCACGAATCTTCCAAGAAAGTCACCAATGTTGTAGCAGAGAATCATAACTGTTGTGAACCAACCGAAATCCTTGAAGTGTTGGTTGCCAGCTAAGAACATGTAGCCTGGGTAGAATGTAAGTGTAATAGTAAGGTGGAGCCAGCCTTCGATAACAAATGGCCAAATCTTAAGGAAGACACCTTTGATTCTTTTGAGTCTGAAGAAGAAATCATTGGATGTCTGAGCGAGTTTGAGTCTCTTCTGAGCAATTTCTGTTCTGCTGAAGAAGTGGAATGTAACAGCTGTGGCAATTGAAACAAAGCATGAGAAGAATAAATAAAGGAAACCTTGGTTTCTGACACTGTTTGGAAAAACTCCCTTAGCAAGAATCCAAAGGAGAGATGTGATTAAACCACCAAGAGCGACACCTGTGTTGGCTAAAGCTGATGTCTTATCACCGAAAAGGCCTGCAAAGCCCATTGATGAACCAAAAATGACTGATTGGGCTGCGGATGTCAAAGCTGCAAGAAGGTAAATGATGTAATACTGTGGATCACCGAAGTTGACATAGAAGTAGATAACAATTTGAACAATAGCCATTATTGTCATCGAGAAGTAAAGTCTGGAAATGAGTCTGAATGATTCAATGAATGGAAGTGAGCAAAGATTGACTGTTTCAGAAGTGATGATCAAAACACGTGGGAGATCTCTTCCAATGTTGACTTTGCCACCATATGTGTATCTCTGATGTCCAACAAGTGAACCGTAGAAGTCAGTACCACTGAGGAATGTATTGTAACTGAACAAAATGTTGGTACCAATGAGGAAGAAGATAAGTTGAATACCTAATGAGATCTTAACATCATCTTCTGACTTCTTATCATCTGATTTGTTGTCCAAGTCCTTGGAAGAATAACTCTCGGACTTCTCTGGCTCGGCCTCAACATCATGAAGTATTGCAGGATCTTCTTGAGTCATCCCTTGATGAAAAATGATTATTTAATGGGCCGACATTTTCTTTCAAAGATTTCAATGGAATTTGGACGATAGGTCACTGATTCATTCAGAAACTATCAATGAATTCAATTAAATTGAATGAGATTTGTTTATTAAACTTTCTCATGGGTTGCTTTGATATTGCAAAGACTATCAAAATTTTCGAGTCCTTTTTTAATACAATTTGATTACCTGTCAGAAAATTAACTGCTTCTATTAAAAATGTAAAGAATTTACTGCGGTAGAAGATCATTTTAAAATGCTCATAGTAATATTTAAGATATATTATTAACTGTATCACAAAGTTCTCAGAAATAGCTGTAAAGCTGTAAAGTTTCTCGAATATAAAATCAAAAATGATAGTGTTTACCTATGTAGAAGAAATACGATAATTGTATAAATATAAAATATTCAATATTTTACACCAATAAATTGGATAATGAAGAAATAATGCATACTATAATATTTTTCATATTCGCTTTTTATAAAATAATTCAATCAGTACTATCAGCATTTTTATAGAAATAATTCAATATCTCCTTTCAATTTATTTTATCGAACCATAGAGAGGATATATATTAATTAAAATATTGATTGAAATCAAACTTATTAGATCAAAAGTATTGAAATGACTTTTGAATACATTAAAAATTGAGAAGATATGATGAAATTGAATTCCGATAATGTATACATTGTATATGAAATTATGATTCAATTTCACAATAATATTTTTAAGAGTTTTTGTAAATGTTAAAAAATGGATAAGTTGATTTTTTAAATATATTCATGCAGCTTTACATCATATGGGACCTCTTTATTTAATCAAAAATTAATGAACATCACAACATTTTAAAATTGAATTGGCAAAATTGGAAAATATGTTAATCATTACTTGACATTAACCAATACATGTATATAGCAATCATATTACATTCATGATTGATGTATTTTGATTCATATTTTATCATATTATTTTGAAATCATTAATATATAAGCCTGTTTACATTAAAATCAGATACACCACAACTTTTTAAAATAAATTTATTTTGTATTTTATTGATCGACATTCTAATTTTTTTTCAATTATATTAACTTTTGGTATTTCTTTTTATTTATTGAAAGCACATTCTTACATGCATGGAAGTGAAATGGACTATTCTGCTTTGAACATTATTTTTAAAGATAGTGACAAATTAAAACAAATTTGTGTCAATTTAATAGTTTTCTCCAACTGAAAAGCTTAATAAGTTTTCTTCATAGTTTTACGATAATTGGATCTATGGGCATTTGAAAACTAAGCTAATAAAATTTCACTTGATGTGATTTTTGATTAAAAATGACAATAATCTTCTTTACTTGCAGAACTATAATCAACATGAGTATTATTATTGATTTCTATGATTCTTGTTTTCAAATATAAGAGATTCATCCAGACAACATTTGTTAATGCCGTTCATATACGTTTTATTAGCTTAATTCCTATTTCAATATTATTACAATAAGTCATTTGACTTATTTAACTAAATTATCCATAAATATATGAAGGATAACTTAAAAATGTTTTATATTTACAATGGAAATGGCAACAAATTAGTATTAATCTGTAAAATTTCATATTTCTTATTAATATTTATTATGACATTAATCTAAATTTCTGTTTCAAAATAACCTTATTTCACGCTCTCATAAACTATAAAATTATCGTCATTTTTGAAGATAGCAATATTTTGTTTTCCACACAGATTACATGTTAAATTGAATTTTTATTTGAAACAATCCACGGAAAATAAAATAAACAAATCGAAAATCCAGTCGGTATTTTTTCTGATAAAATTAATAACAAACATGCCACCAGTATTTTTTTATTTCTGAAGTTGGTGATGTGATGTAAAAGAAATGACGTGGAACAAAGAATATACTTTCAATGGGAAATGATCGGGGAAAATTTTAAAAAAATCAATGGATGAGGAAGTTCTTGTAGAAAATAACCAAGGAGAGTCAGTGACTAAGTGTCTCCAATGGGGTGTTGGCATCACTGTTGTCGTCACTTGCATCGCAGGCCTCTTGATTGTTTATTTTGTCAATCCATCGAACACGGCCAAAACAATTAACATATTTTCCATTAGTGATTTACAAATAGATCCACTATATAATGCTTATTCAACAGATGTTTCTTCTCTTTGCCGCGGAAATAATAATTCAGAAATCGCAAATAACTTTGGTCAATATGGTTGCAACACGCCTGAAGGTACCTTGGATAGTATGGTAAACTATGCCGTCAAAAATAAGCTGAAACCAACCTTCATTCTCCTTGGTGGCGACAATATCGCTGATTCTCTTGATTATTCTCGTGAGGATAATGATAAATTACAATCTAGAATCATCAGCAAACTCCAAACTGCGTTTCCGAAAATCCCAATCTATCCTATAATCGGTAGTACAGAATTTTCAACAAAATTTGGACAATTTTCCACAGATTCCACTGACCTTAAGGCATTAAATAGTGTTTTGGGTGTATCTCTCACAGATTCAGAGAAGGAAACCTTCATGAAAGGCGGATATTTCGCTCATGATTTTCCAAAGTTCAATGTCCGCATATTATTCCTTAACACAGCCATATACTCAGCATCTAGATCATTCAACAGCTCCGAAACCGATCCTTACGGCCAGTTCCAGTTCATTTTAGATCAAGGTGAAGAAGCAGCGAAGAAAAACATTGGAATTGGTGCAATTATGTACTTACCACCAATAACAAACTCAACTACATTCCCAAATGGCATGCATTCCGAGTATTCCACCAAATTAATTAATTTATTCAACCAAACTAACTTCAAATTCATAATTTCAGGATATACACATACAGACTCTATATTCCCTGTATACTCTAACAGTACACAGTCTTATGTTATGACAAATCCATCTGTTTCACCACTTTTTGGAAATAATCCAGGCTTCAGAATGTTAAGAATTCGTGCAGGAGTTTTGGAAGATTTTGATCAGTATTACTTCGATATTTCAAGGAAAGATTCACAATGGAATAAAGAATACACATTCACAAACTCATATTCAGTCAAATCAGCATCACCAGACAGTGTTGGAAAAGCAATTGACTGGGTAATGACAACTGGAGAAGGAAGATGGACATTTAGAGAGAGAACTTTCGTCAGAGCGAAAACAGATGATGATTTGTACTACTGCTTACTATCTAGTAAGTCAATGCAAGCATCTGTTAACTGTGTAAATTAAAAAACTATTCATATATTTTAGATTTTTTTTTTACTTTTTTGATGAAAATAATTGAGGTCTTGGTAAAATTAGGCAGATAATAGCTTTATCTACTCCCTTCCTACCAAATTGCCGATGGTAGCAGTATTATATAGATCGGAACCTTAACGTAGGTGATTTTTCATCCTGCCATAAGGATCATACTTTTGAGAGTTTTACATGGCATTTGCCGGCAAATGTCATGTAAAGTTGTCTCAAATATTTTAGGGTAAATACACCGGCAACCCTTGCGAAATAATTGAGAATAAAATAGTTCTCTGCGCAAAAACGAGGAAATGTATTTAATTCATGGTATTCTTTTATGTTCTTAAATGTTACTATTCCATTTCCTACTGTTGGAATTGATTCAACATATGAATCAGAAATAGTCTAAGTGAAATCTTCACCATTTACTAAAACATGCTATATATTACTCTTATTGACCTTAGTTGCGCTGAAAAAGAGTTCATCACAACTGAATTTCTTTGCATTTTTCAGATCTGAAATAAGCTTCTCAATAAAATCAGGAGTTCGTTTATTTATTCTTTTGAGTCTGATGTTTATCATCATTCTTTTGCATCTGAGATATCTGTGTTGATTCAATTTGATCTAAAAAATTATTTTGATAATATAATGAGTCTGAAAGTAAAAAGATTCGATTACTTCATTTGTTTCTTCTAGCGGATCAACTTGAAATAAACCCATATTGTAATAATTGATAACGTTATTAACATCGAAACTAATGAAATACTCCACGAGGTAGGTTTCTCTATTTTTTCATGGCTATGTTTGATGAGCCTTGAAATATTAAGCATTATCCAATTCTCTGAATGAAATTTTGAACAATTTAGTGTTAATTGTTGTTCTTTGTGATTCAATTTTAAAGATATTAAGTAATTTTTATCTTTTGTGGTAGTGTTTGATATAGATATATTATTACTCTGTTTACTTAATTTAAAATTCATAATTTTGTTACGTTTTTGTTTCTTTGTTGATTGGTAAATATTAATTTCATTATTTTGCGTGAAATTATCAATGCAGAACTTCTTGGGAATAGGAAAATTCTTGATTTTATTCTTGATTGATCCGCAGATCAGTCCATTGTCTTCTTTTGCTTTGATTTTGAATGTGTATTTTTCTTTATTACTAGTTAAGCATTGCCCACTCCATCTATTTGCAGCTTTTATAAAAATCAATCCTACTAACATTTAAAAATAATGGAGAAATAGTCAATTTTTGGGTTATTTTTATTAGAGCAGGATTTAGTTAATGAATCCGTTAATTAAAATAATGTTGTTAAAATGGCATTTTTTAATAACAGAGAGCACTGTCACTTTTCCAAGATTTTGGATTAATATGGAGCATCCTCAGCTCTTGTTTTCAATTCTTTCCTTTTCATTTCTTGATAATGCTGAGTATGAGGATCTTCCTGATCTTGTTAAGGCCAAAAATATGCCAAAAAAGTTTCCTATTCTAAAAAAAGCCGATTCAACCAACCTTTTTGCTCAAATTCAGAAAGAAAATAATATCAAAAAGGCTTTAATTGATGCTCAATGGCCATTTCCATTTGATATTGAAGTTCTGACAACAATTTTAGGATCGTTTTCATTACAATATCAAAAAACTCCAAATTATATTTCCTTAATTATCTTAAATTCATACGTAACATTCATGATTTCCTCATTTAATCTCGTTGATTTGCCCGTTTTACTCGAAAATTTAAGAGTATTTTCTAAAATCACAACCGACCATACATGCAAGCAGTGTGCATCTTCAGCATTTGTTGATTTATACAGATTAATACCGATTGAATGCAGTCAATCAGAATTTCATCAACTTTTAACACCACTATTCCAATTTATTTCCGACAGCGAAGAATTGCATCCACAACTATTCCAAATACTCATAAAAATGTTCCATCTATCAATGACCTACAATTCGAACGTTTCTAGCTCAATGTTGAACATTGTCAAACTGGCAATCAATAAATTTCATTCGGTTATTCCAGATACAGACATTGTAGCTCTTCTAAAAATCCTCAGTGAGGAGATATTCGAATTCCATCTTGATTCTTTCCCTCTTTTACAAACGATTACATCTAATTACGAATACATCGATTTATACAGTATGATTCTTGCTGCAACATCACGAGTTGTTGATGAAATCCATAAATATCCACCAATATTTCCAATGTCAGATTTTCAAGAAGAATCTAATCGAAATAAAATGTTTACAAGAAGGAAAAATCCAGATATTACACTAAGTACTGTCATGCATCAGGATGTATACAGATTTACAATGAATATTATGAATTTGATGACAGTCAATGCGAAGGTTTGCGATAAATTCGTTGCCAGTATCATTGTTAAACTATGCGAACTCGATTCTACAAGTCCATTTGCCATTGATTATTTGTTCGTATTAGCCTTGATATTGAAAAATACAAAAAAGGCTACAACATCTGCAGATGCATTGCCTCATATATTTAGATCAATGTTATTTAACGTAAATGCAGATATTTTGGATTCAAATAATTTTGACATGATAAGTCTTCTCAAAAACGAGTTCTTTTCACTATTGTTCAGATCAGATTCAACTTACATATTGGAAGAGCTTCAATTTTTTGCAGAAAAATCAATTCATGCATTATTTGATATTGTATACAGAATCTCAACCGACCAAGTATACGTTAATCCAGAGAAAAATGCTGATTTGCTTCCAGTATTAACATATATAATGAACGAACTGAAGAAAATCACTAATACAGAGTATTTCAATATTTATGTCATAGTTTACTGTGATATGATACTTAAACTCATCAAAGATAAGTATGCCATGCTTTCTTTCTTCCAAACAGCCGATTTCTTCAACATTTTATCATGGTTAATTGATATATCAAAATATTATACTCTAAAAATCGAATCAGTTTATGTTCACGAGCTCAAATCGAAGACGAGTGACTTGTTTAACATGAATATTTCCAAACAAATGGTCAAATTCTTTTTCTTTTCCATCACTGACGAAAGAATTGGCGACGCAATAATTTTCATGAGATTCATTTCAGACATGGTTAAAGTTGACAACAACAATGCATTGATTTACAAGGAAATCTTCTTCAGAATATTCCAAACTATACCTACAACATGCAGAAAAGACTTAATTAACACTTACATACATTTGTTACTTGAATTATTGATGTATTGTTCAGATAAACTTGTTTATTCACAACAAGTCATGATGAAATTCGAACAAAGTTTGGAAATTAATTATTCTGATGGACTTCCATGGCCAATTATTAATGATTTGATTAACATTTGTGCAGGACAAAAGGTTGAATCAATGAGATTGCCATTCGACTTGAAACAACCAAAGTTTTTCGGTGTTTTGTTGAGATTAATCAAAAATGACACTGAAAAACTTCAAATCATTATTGAAATAATTAATTTGATTTGTCAGAACTTCCAAAATTCAAGGTTATTATTACACAACCATGGTATTGATGCACATATCATTGACATCATAAAAGATGCAAAAGATGATGTATTAATTGATACTTGCATCGCAGTTATTAAACAAATAACTTCACTTGTAAGTTCTGCAGCGGTTGTTAACAAATTTGTGTCACTTTTATTACCAATTAATGAAAAATATTTTCCAAGATATCAGGAGAAAATATTAACATTCCTTAATGGTCTTATCACCGATGCACTTCGCCAGCCATTATGTGGTTACACAATCACTAAAACATCATCACCATATGTAAGAGGACTTAAATCAGAACAATTCATAGATTTTTCATTTTCTATTTGGCTTTATTGCACTAAAACTGTCCAAGATGCTGTTATTTTCACGTTGCATGATGCTAACAGACTCTCTTTCTCTTTGTTTATTATCAAAGGATGCGCAACAATTGTTATAAACAAAGGAGATGATTCTTGGGAAGGACCATTGAAACTTATTTGTCCGGTGAATAGATGGTTTATTCTCACAGCAACTGTTGAATACCAAAAGAACCAAAACAAGAAAATAGTTGTAACATTGGAATTGGAAGGATATGCTATCAGACAATTGTTTGTTTTGCATGAGTTCGCGCCAGGAGACATTCTTTTCCAACTTTCCAATTCAATGACAAATTCAGAGAATGAAGTCATGGTCGGACCATTATCTATCTTTTCAAAGATTCCTCAGCATGAATTGCAATTGCTTACGAAATCTAATCCACACCAGATGCCAACTGTTCCTAAAACTCCTTTCTTCTTCATGCTGCCTAAGAAAGATGGTGAAAAGATTTCTCTTTCAGTAAATCCTGAATATCAAATTGTTTACAAACCGATCAAAAACCTCCAACCCTTCTCAATTTTGGATGTTTTGAGTGCAAGAATCGGCTATTCTGTTTTAGTTCCTTTATTCGCAGAATTGAATTGCACATACGAAGATGGAACTAAATTCGATGATTTCGGAATTATTTGTATCAATATCATTAAGAACACACTGATATTAAATAACAGATCACAATCAGAACTTGATACTTCGAAATCATTCGAATCGATTTCATATTTATTGTCTGCAATGAATCCTGTTCATCTCACATTTGATTTATATTTATCTTTCTTTAATTTGACTACATACATCACTAACAAATATCTCATGAAATCATTGTACAGATCAATCATTTGTAATTTTGATTTATGGTATCTTTCATCAGATAAAATCAAAATTTTCAGACATTGGGAATCAGTTTTGTACACAAACTATACAACATATGCAAGAAAAGCACTCAGTTTCGAGAACCTTTTGATGATCATGAGAACATTCTTTTATTATGAACCACTTGAGACATATTTAATTCACATCAGAGAAGAAGAAATTGATGTCGAACTTATCAGAAAACTTTTAATGAAATGCGCTTATCAATGTGTCAAACAAAAGTTCAAGCAGAATGATGTAACTTTCTTAGGTACACAGATCTTAACAAGTGTTGTCAGTCGCCAACAGAATGAACTCATTGATTTACTTGATAATATCATGGATTTGCCAACAATCAAAGGAAATGATTTCGAAACTTATTCAAGTTTATTGATGTTCCATGTTTTGATATCAACAAACAACTTGACAACAATTGAAAAGATGTTTGATATCATGATTAAAATGCATGAAGTATTCGATATAACAGAAGTTACATTAGAAGAACATTTGTACATGATTTTAGAAGAAATCCCACAGAATTTGATGCAAAGTGAACCATTCTTCGAAATTTTGTTTAAATTCTCAAAGAAGAAACCAGAATTTTTGTCATTAGTATGCTATGTTGCACAGAATTTAGGAAGTTCATATGTTAAAAAAGTTTTCATTGAAATTGAGCCATCACCATTCCTTTCTAAAGTCCATCACTGGACAGTTTGGCCATCATTGGCATTTTTAACATGTCCAGGTGATATTCGAATCCACATCATTGATTTCATAATCAAATGCGGTTGTGACTTGTGGATTGATGCATTTTCAAGTATAGAACATATTGGAAGATCTCTTGGAATATCTGTTGTTATTCCAAAGCATGACTTCTTATCAGCAATTGCAGCTAAACTGTTGAACCAAGAAATTACAAATAACAAGAAAACAGTTGACACATTTTTGAAATTGATCAAATATTTCATTTTGATGAAACCAAGTGGATATATTAGTAGATACTTACTGAAAAAGGCAGAACCTATCAAACTCTATGAAATAGACACAAAATCTCCTAAAGCATTGATGCAAATCATTCACAACTTAAGGACATTTGATGGTGAAAACAAAGATTTAGATTTCGATTTATGTATCAAAGATTTACAACATCAGAACTCTCTTGCAACTGATTTACACTTGATCATGATGAATCCAATCGAGAAAAGAAAGTTCGGTCTTACTTTTAATGAAGAAGCCATTTGGATTGATTCAGATATCATCACAATGGCGTTTGAGATTTTCGACAGAAGTCCACTTGAAAATCATTTTGGTTTAATGACAGTTTTAGCCGGTTTGATTGTTAACGAACAGCCAGAAATCGCACACAAGTTTGTTGATAAATATTTCATTGTTATCAACTTATTACCTGAGATTAATGTATATAACCATCGTGCAATCGAATGCAATCGTCCAACAGTTAAGAAAGCAGATCCCTTCTTAAGTTTCCAGAAGATGTCTGAAGTTTTCGAAGAATTTGATTCTCAGAATGATCCTGTTGTTGTTTTCGGTGTAAATTATTACAATTTCGTTATAGAATGCACCGAAAAATCCAATTTCATCATCACATTGAGTCAAGGACAATATCTCAAGAAGATGTTCAATAGCGCAAGTAGAATCATTGAGAATCACTCAAGATCCAAGTTCAGATACAGATTGGAATGGCGTAAATTATGGCACAGATTCATTGATGATGGAAGTCCATGGAAGAACTGCATTTCAGACAAAGTTGTCAATAAACTTCGTCGCAAATTCACTTATTGTTTACCATATTATACACCAATGAAAGTTTCAGAAACAAGAGTTCAGAAAGATCCTGATTACATTGTCACATGTCCTTCTAATCCATTTTACGATGTTTTGGAGAATATGCACTCCGAAATTCTTTGGTCAGAAAATCTTCCACCTATTGATCATGACGTCAACAAGAACTTTGTTTGTCAGTTGATCAATCTCGACATCATTAAGAACTGCCACATCAGTGTTACATCCAAATCATTCTTAGTTTATCAACAGAACAACACATATTTCAAGATCCATTATGATAAAATCTATTCAATATTGCAGAAACCATGGAGAAATGAAGACAACGCGATTGAAATTCTTACAGTTTTAGGCGAAAGTTATTTGTTTAAGTTTTTGCAGAACAGACTTCCAGCATTCTTGTTATTGATTAAAACTATCAATTTCAAGAGTTTGCAAATTCCAATCCAGTTTAACAATGATTACATTAAGTATTTCAATGAGATGAAATTGACAGAGAAATGGGTTAATTGTCAAATTTCAACATTTGAATATTTATCAATGTTAAATCGCTATTCAGGCAGAACATTCCATTCCACTAAACAATATCCTATCTTTCCATGGGTATTGAGTGATTATTTCACAGATGAATATTCACTTGACAATCCATCATTAATCCGCATGTTTGCATTAAAGATGGGCAACAATTTGCCATCAACATCTGATGACAACTTAAACATCGCTCGCATGTTGAGTCATTTGCAACCATTCAACACATTGACTAAAGAGAAATTCAACTCAATTGCAAATGAATTCATCAATTCTAGTGTCAATGAGATTCCACCAGAATTCTTCTGTTCCCCCGAAATTTTCGAGGATGTTGAAAAACCAAAATGGGCACAGAACTCTTTTGACTTTGTTTACAAGCACAGAAAAGTCTTAGAATGTGAATTAGTTTCTAAACAGATTAACAAGTGGATTGATACTACATTTGGATCACTTCAGAAGTCTCCTCCAACAAATTATCCTCCGAAGATCATCTTCAAATCCAAACATCCACAAAGAAAGAATATTCCACCTCCAACTTACGACAAAACTGACATCAAATTCTGTGAATCAAACTTAATATGCTGTGTTTCAATTCTGAATCCTAAAACGATCAACCTTTATGCAATCACTGAAAATAGTGAACTTATTTGTGCAGTTGCAAATGATAAAGATGCCAAAACGAACATGAATAATTTAAGTTTCCGATTTGGCAAAGAAATTCTTCCACAATTTGTTTTGGTGAATGAAGACACATTTTTATGTTTGAAGAAGACGGCGGACAAGATCATGGTTATCCATAGCAACAGTAATATTGAATACATCGACACTAAATCATTTACAAGCTGCATAGATGCAAATGACATGTACACTGTTGTTTGTGATAATGATGCAATTGTTCACTGTTACTTCTCGAATGATTATACGAAGCCTCTTTTCAAACTCCAGACTTACACACAATCAATCAAAGCAGTATGTGCTTCCAAGAACTTCCACTCCATTGTTTGTTCCACTGTTGATTCACAGATCTTGATTATCTCTATTACTCGTAAATCCATTTCCAAGAGTGTTTATTTGCAGAATTTCACATCAAAGAAACTTATTGTTACAAAGAGTTTTGGCTTCATTGTTGTTTTTGGTAAAGGAATTGTCGAAGGCAACCAAGTCCGCAAGATTTTCATAATCTCATGCAATGGAGACATCCTCAAAGAGATGATATTCAACTACAAAGCAATTTTTGTTTCGACTTACGTTTCATCTAGTGGTTTTGATTATGTTGTTTTCTGCGACAAAATCGGTAAAGTTTTTGCTTTCGAAGCATACTATCCAGAAAGAGTTATTAGCATTGGTAATGTCATCAACAAGGTTCTTTCATTCGATTGCTCAGAAAACCGTGTTTGTGTTACTACCTCTAATGGTCAACTTCATGTTTTTCCTTTTTCATTTTAATTTTATGTAAATTTTTTATTATTATTTTTCTATCAAATTGATTCTATTATTTCTTTTTTTGAATCAGTAAGTAATAATGCTATATTCATGAGCTCAGTGTGAAATTGTGTTCCATATACATTGTGAATTTGGTAACAGAACATGAAATTTGACTAACATATCTATTTGTGAAGAAACTACATTGCAAATCTAATGGGACTAGTTAAAGTAAAATGTAAAAATTAGGTACTCATGAGTAGATATTCTTCTTATGTAATTTTTTTATAAGTTTTTGGGAAAACCAATAATGTTTGCAAGATGAATTTATGTATAGTTTTGGAAAATTCTAACGAATTAAAAAAAAGAGTAAATTAAAAATTAAAAGATTTATAGTGTTAATTTCGATCACATAAATGATGGAGTTGAATATTTTATTGGTAAAATCGTTTTGAATGAGAAATTAAGAAATCAAATCGATTTAAACTAACGTACAAGATTCCTTTGGAATATGATTGCATTGCAAGGATGCAATAAATCAATTCATTGGGGGCGAGCATCATAAGAAAAATTTTTCGAAAAATAGGGGGTGTTAGTATACTCAACCCCCTCATTAATTATCGTTTCTAGAGGAATAGGAACAGAGGCCTTTTTTCAGGTAACCTTTAAGAAGTTGGCAAACCCAAATTTTAGCTAAAAGTGACAGGGAAAAAAACGTTTAGTATTAAAAAAAAGACCGATGAGAGCTTCGTTCGAAATATAGAGGGAACTGAGAATGCGCAACCATTCTCAGGGAATATTGGATGCTATTCCCGTTCCCTCTGTATGGAAAATTGAGGTTTTCAAAGGGAGTTAAAATAATATCAAATTTATACTAATTTACTTCAAAATACAAAAGTATTTGACAGCTAAAATTAGTTACTTTAGCAAGCCTATCAATACCCTTTTACGATTATTGCTACTTTTTCGAAATAAAAGTAAAAACAAATTTATACTAATTTACTTCAAAATACAAAAGTATTTGACAGCTAAAATTAGTTACTTTAGCAAGCCTATCAATACCCTTTTACGATTATTGCTACTTTTTTCGATTAATTGTTATCAATTTGCAATTGCAAGATTTGCTTATACAAGAGATTTATTCATGCTTTCTCATCTTGCAGGTTATTTATGGATTGATTTCCCAACAGAGACATCATTTTATCATTTAGAATACTTAGCAAATGATACCGATTATCTTTATGATATTTTCTATGCAATTTCTTCCCTAGAAACTGCAATTAAAGATACCAAATACAACAATAAATGGACAATTCAAGATGCTATATTGACAATACAAGCTTACGTATTGTTAGCTGGTATTAGCATCGAAAACCATTTCCACCTCGAAGACATGAAACCTCTGGATAAATTCTTCATCCAAGAATTAGTCAGTCTCATGAAGAATCCGATTTTATCAAGTATCCGTCAAACACTCATTTATGTTTTCATCATTTCTGTCAAGAAATTATATTCATTAGATATAAATGCAGCAAATGATGCATTACTTATTTGTTTGACAACACGCGATCCTTCCTTGACTGAATTTGCAATCACACAGATGATTGATGATGAATATCTCATCAAAATCTTTGACAGCAGATTAGTTGAATTTTTGTTCACAAACCATCTCACGAATTTGGCCAAGAACGAAAATGAAAATGGAGCAGAATGGTTGATCAGTAAGTTCTTAACTGTCATGATGCATGCAATCAACAAAGAATTGTCAATGACAGGTCAAATATCAGATACGAACAAGAAACTTTATGATTGCTACATCAAATTCTCTTCTATTATGCTTGAACAGATGATTGTCAGTGATAATCCTAATCCAAAATTCGTTGTATTGCTCAGAAAATGGATTACATTATTCCAACCATTAGTTAAGTTCTCATATATTTCCAAAGTTTTCATGACATTCTTGCAGCCATTATATACAACAATGGTAGCGAAAATGAATTCCAAACCTCCTAAAACATTGAAAGAATTCAACGATAACTATTCTGTTATTCTTGAGTTGTTTTTCCTTTACCAACAATTGATATCAAGTCTTCTTTTTGGTGGTGAAGAACTCTCCTTAGTCAAAGATTTTACTTGGCTCATTCACTCCGCATTGAAGATGAATATCAGTCCAGATTTCATCAATAGTTTATATCCACAGATATTCGAAGAAGGCAAAAAGTGCGAAACACCACAAGAAAGTTTTGTTTATGATATGATAAACAAATCAGAAAAAGATGATATCAAATTATTGATGGATTATCTTTACAAGAAATGTCCTAATCCAATGAATAAAAGAATGACAATCGATGACAGACACATTGAACATGTCACATTCTGCTGTTTCATCAAACAACTCGGAATGATTGATGATACAATCGATCTTGTTAATTCATTGAAAGACAAGAAAACACCAAATATATCACTCCAAATCAAGCAGATTATGGAAATGATATATAGAACAAGAAGAACACTTAAACAGCAGAAACAAAACTCAAATACTATAATGATTCAAAATGGAAGTGTTTCCGATAAAATCGAAGAAAACTTCGACATTTATTTGAAGAGTTATTTGAAGAAATGTATCTTCTTGTTGAATATCAAGCCATCAATGAAGTCCAGAGGTGATTCAAGACAAGATTTATTCTCCGAAAACTTAAGGAGAATAACAAACTTGATTTGTTCAACATCAACTTTAGAAGATATGTATTCAATGATGCTTAAAGCAAATGAAGCAAAGAGCCACATTTCTGTATCAATTGCTTTGTTATCAGATTTGGTTATATCAAACAGTTTCAAAGAATCAGCATTTAATTCTTTCAAACTTAGTGACTTCTTCAAACATTATATTCAAACTCTTCCAGATATGAATAAATTTAAGTCACCAGTCATTGAAGCAATTCTCGAAACATCAGTTGAATATTTGATCAAGAATGAAAAAGAAGATTCAATTGTTATTTCTATTTCTACATTCATTCTTAATATTTTGAATACAATCACAGAAAAAGATCAATATTTTGTTTTGGACAAAATCCATGAAATTCTGAAAAAGATTGCAGAACATTCAAATGTTTTAATCAATATACAGATGTTTGTTGTTTTTGCATTGAAAGTTGACTCAATGCTTTTAGAGAATCCGAACCTGAAAAGTTATGAACATTTTGATCAGATCGCAAATTGCATTTTCCATTCATTTGATCATCTCGAACATGATGATATTCATTATATATTATATCAACTTCTTCCTACTTTTGGTATGAAGATTCCATTTACTATAGAAGATCTCAAGACCATTTTCAGGACAGATCCTCGTTATTATCATGTTGCAGCACTGTTTTTCGTTGATTTACTCAAAACAGATCCTGACAAAATCAACACAATTTCATTTATTCTTGATACTATTGCTGACATTTCCAGTGGAAAACCATCATATTTCTTTGGAGATCATCCATTGTTACACGATGAAAATCAAGCATTCTCACAGTATATTCGAACTCCAGGAATTTTGTTGAATGGATGTTCAGAATTTATTTACATCATTCGTGAACTTTTGAAAGAAAAAGATGAATTAACGATTGATATCATCACATTCATTTTGAATTACAATTCACCAGACAAATCTAAACAAGAGCAATGCAAAGATAAATTGCAAAAGTATGAGAAGTTTACCAATGAAAAATTACTTTTCGCTGTCTTTTCTGTTTTATCAAACGTTGTTGAAGTACTGAAGAATCATTCTTTAGTTAAAAACGCTTTAACTAATGATTACTGCTATATGTCTTGCTATATTCCAAATACTAATAAATTCTACGGTTGGAAATTGCCAATAACAGAAAATTCAAATCAACAAATGTTTGATGCAACATATATGCCTATTTCATTACTTCCTTTCACATATGATCTTTTCGCAAATTACGATTCTTTGATTCCATACTTCAAAGAAAATATCCAATCAATTCAGAGTTCGATTCCAAGAGAATGTTTATCTTATTACATCTTGAATAGTCTCAATGGTTATTCAACAAACTCTGAGTTCTTGAATCGATTCATGAAAGAATTTTCCAATATTGAATTGAAATATTTCACATTCTCATCTGATCTATTCAATTTCAGGAAAGTTTTGAAGCATCATTTGTTATCTCATACTGATGGATTCTATACAAAGATGAGTCATATTTTGCACTTTTCATATCATTCTCCTTCAGATATTTTGAATCATTCTCTTTATTCCATTGGAGATGATAAAGTTTCATGCAAGCAAGGCATTCATTGTTTCATGACACAAACACTTCCCCAAAACAGACCAACTTTGTTGGAATTCAACCTTGAAACTAAAGGTTCTTATTGCAGAATCGGTTTGATTAATCTTTCAATCGAAGAAGGAGATGGTGAATCATTATTTGTTGAATATCTTAATGACAGAGTCAATATTTTGTCAAGCAGTGTTTATCCAACAAGTTATGACTCCCAAAACAAATTCCTCATCCAATATGATCCATTGGTGAAATTGGCAACTCTCTACAATTATAACTATAGGCCAATTGAAACAATCAAGACATGAAGTACGTCATTTTGTTTCATCATCCAATGCCATGGATCAAGCCAAGCTGGTTACAAATTCTATGTACCAGGAAAAACACTTTCTCAGAAGTTCTTTGAAAATGAATCATCTATTTCAAATGATTTACCACCAAAGATCGATTTGAGATTGGCATCACAAGACTTCAGCAGCAGATTTAAGTCATTACTTAGATATGATGCAGATACACTTCGAGAAACACTTAAAGCAAACTTTAACGCACAAGAAGCTAAGATTTACATTCCAGATTCACAACCAATTTCATTCAGTAACGCAAACATTGTTAGAGACAACTCCACATTCACAGGATCTCTTTACTCAAATGATATTCAAGATATCATCATTGATACAATTTGTTCTTTAGATGATGCCGCATCAACAATCAATGACTTGACTGGTCTCAGAGTCAAAGTTGAAAATAAAGAAGAAGCATTCAAACCAAAGGCAGAACTTCCAACAATTTCCCCAAGTAATTGAGGTAATTTGTCTCCAGAAACAATAAATTACTATGCATGTGGTTATACAACAAAGGCAAGACTCGAAAGTCAGAATTTGCTGTTCTTGAACATGATGAATGACAATAGTATTTCTGTTGAAAAAATCATGAATTTCTTCAAATTGAATTTAGAAGGATTAGTCAAAATATTCACAACATTTTTGTTGTATAATGATAAGATTCTTACAACAACTTTAGTTGATTATGACTATAATATTTTGGATAAATCAACTCCTCCTAAATCCGCAAAATTATTCCAATACAAGACAGCTATTGACAGAATCGTTGATTATCTTGAAAATAGTCATAAAATTGACGAATTCACAGAAATATACTTCAACATGCTTATCGAGAGATTCAACAATGTTCACTTCCATTCTGCAATTGATTTGCATCCATCTGCTGTTGTTTTGAATCCTAAGCTGTTCAAATCACATAAAATCATGATTTCAAGACCAGATGTCACTGCATGGATTGCAGTAAGAGGTTGTTTGGATCCAACAAATGAAATAATCTGTAAAATTAATGACGAAGTTTTATCAAATAATGTTTTGATATTGAATACTAACAAACTCACAATTCAAAATATATCTGATCAATCTTATATTGTTTTGATCCCATTCAATGAAATGTCAAATGAAAGTTTAATTGGAACATTTATTGATTTGGCAACATCATTCAAATATTTTGTCAGATTCATCAGTTCACATATGTCTGCAATCAAACCAGAATCCCTCCAGATGTACAGGCAAAAACTTTATGTTTCCGTTTTTGATTCTATAATTGGAAACTCAAGCTATTTCAACACATTTGGAAACCGTGTTTTAACATTCTTAACTAAGAATTTGCCAGTTTTGTATTTCGACATTACTGGTGAATTTTTGCAGAGACTCAATTATATTATCAAATGGAATGCAACACATTCTAAAGTATTCACTAACATCATCAAAGAAATTGAAGGATTATTGAGAGATCGAATATTTGGTGCCGTAAAGAGTTTCTTCCCTGAATTCTCAGATAAGTCTGAATCTGACTTTCTAAAGAGTTTTCAAGGTTACACAAAACTTATTTTACCTTCACAAGAGGAAACAATTCCTTTCACGATCACAGAAAAATCACAACTTGACAAGATCCTTAACTATTGTAAGAGATTATTATTGGCGCAAGATATGAAGTCATTCCCATTCTATTGTCTACTTCATTTTTGGGCAATAGCAGCAATGAAACTTCCATGTTTTGATCGCAGAATCCTTGATAATGGAAAAACACTTCAGATCAAGTTCCGATACTATATTCCTAAGAAGTTCCATTTCGTTTTCAAGCAAAGCAATGCAAAATATGAATATCTTTGCTCAATAACGAAAGATGGCAACAAAGTCAAATGGACAGATGAAATCGAAACAGCAAATCACAACGAATTCTTCATCAATCTCGGAAATGATGCCAGTTGGTCAATGTTAGAATTCACAATCGAATCAGATGAAACAATGGATGCAGGTGATTTCATCTTGCAATACAGAGATTACTTAGTTTCTGATATGAAGATGATTTGTGAAAGATGGAATAAGAACTTCGACATGGCAATTTTGAAGTGTATTCCATCAACAACATTCGAGAGCAAAGAAATCGAATTGAACTTCAATCCAAAGATTTTCGCGAATAATCCTAAACTCACAGGATTTCCTTTGGCTCTTTTATATTGTCGTTCTATTCCACTGTTGATTGTTAACTGGATGAAGAACCACAATTTCATCGCGGACAGTGAAGTATTCAACGACTTCATTACTCCTGTTTTCAAGTTGAATTCATTCCTTCAAATTGTCAGTGCCAATAGTAGGCTAGAAGTTCCTAACCTCAAAATCAACCGTGAAAATGCACGTAAATTAAGAGAAGGATTGGTCAAAGACGTAAAATTCTCAATCATTTCCCAAATACGGAAACAAATTAAAATATCCAATTTGAAGAATGAATCAGATCAGCCATGGAAAGTCAAATTCGCCGGAGAAAATGGCTTGGACATGGGTGGTTTGGCAAGAGAATTAGTTTCCGAAGTTAGTTTAGACTTAAGAAATCCAAACTGTGGATTTGTTTGTCCAACACCAAATTCCATTTCTCAAGTTGGTTATTACAGAGATAAATTCATCTTTGTTCCAACAAATAATGAACTGAGAAGCAACAAGAAACTCTACAAATCCATTGGTGGTTTGTTGTTGTTGATTATCAGGACAGGATTAGTACAAGAGTTTGACTTTGCACCAGTTGTTTGGCGATTCTTGGTTTCTAACAAAGTTTCTATCGAAGACATCTATGAGATTGATGTCAACTATAAGAATACCATTGAAAGTCTTAAGGATGCAATCAACAGCAGAATCAGTGAAGATGAATTTAACAAACAGTTCAATCTTTATTTCGTTGTCAAAGACTCATTAGGTCAAGACCACTCACTTAACCAAAATGGAACATCATGTAAAGTCAGTATCTCTAATGCAAATGAATACATTGCACTGTCAAATGAGTTCAGGATCAAGGAACTCCAGAAATACCTTAATTGGGTGAGAATTGGCTTCTTAAAGAACATCAAAGAAGGCATTCCAAATTCACTGGATCCAGACACACTTGAATTCAGTTGCTGTGGTGATCCAGAATGTTCATATGAAAACTTAGTTAAAATTGTTCGTTTTGAGGAAATTTCAGAAGACCAACAAAGTATTTTCTTCAAAGTTATACAGAAATTCACGCCAGAACAAAGAGCATGTCTTATCAAGTTCGCAACAGGAAGATCGAGATTACCTCCTTCTGGCTCATCAAATCAGTTCAAATTTACAGTTGATTCTAATGGCGCACAGATTGACAAACTCCCAACTTCATCTACATGTTTCCACACCTTGCACATGCCACGATACACATCATTTGATAACGCATACAAGATGATTTCAATTGCAGTTGAAAATACTGAATCATTTGAAAATACTTAATTTCTTTTTATAAACATTTTTCGATATTTTTCATAATATTTTTATTTTTCAAGTCTAAATATTCAATATGAATTTTAAATGATGAAATTATAATTTGAATTCATACTAGTAAATTTATAATTCTTGGACGTACAATTATTTTTAATTCAAATGCTGTTAGGCATTAAAAGCAAAAATAATCATATACCTGAGAATTATACTTCGCTCCCCTGACAATACGTCTGAAAAGTGTAAATTTTACCAATTGTTCTAAACTATAATAGAAACATAAAAAAATTATTCTCATCAAATGAATAATCCTTAATAAATATCAAAATATATAAAGCTTCAAGATAAAATTTGAAATTTGAAAAAAAGATTCAGTTGGGATGACTATTTTGTCAATCAAAATAAATGTGACTTTGAAAATGTTTAATTTCTTTTAATAAGCATTTTTCGATATTTTTCATGAATATTTTTATTTTTCAAGTCTAAATATTCAAATGAATGTTTAGTCTAGCTCAAAAATTATCACTATGAGAAAGTGTTAACAATCACTTTGATCAAATATGAGATAAGAAAAAAGGATACTATTTATATGAATATTTTGTTAAAATAGTCAGATGGCTAACATATGATTATAAAAAAAGTTTTTATATATATATAAGAGATTAACCCTTAAGTTTTTAGTTTTCTGGAATATTAATCCAAATATAAATCGCAAAGCTCGCTTAGCACGGCTTGTTTCTCTTCTTGTTGATCAATCCAATAATTAGACAGACAAGGTCTTGTTAAAGTAGAAACAATATTCTTTGGAAGATGTTCACCATTTGATGCAATTGAGGATAATGCAACACCAAGGATTTCAGAGCAAACAGTGTCTAATTGTTTTCTCTCAATATCCACAATATATATCCGATATGAATACGGAAAACTTTCAATAATTGTTAGGAATTTCAAAAATTTTATGGATACATCATCAAGTGGTAAACTTTTAAATATATAGCAAGGCAAGCATTGATTGCAAGGTTACTCTATATATGTTACTAAATCAGAAAAGAAATCTTACACACATTCAATTTTAAGAGAGTATTCAATTTGATTGCATTTATGCAAATAATTCAATTATCTCAACACATAATGAAGTTTTGGTAAAATTAATAATAATAGATACATCCTTGTATCTAAAAGAATATAAATTGAAAGATATATCCTTTTAGATAATAAAATCATAAAATGAAAAATTTAATGATCTCAAACAAAAACTTTTTTTACTGGAATTTTTCTTGTATTTGGTATGATATTCCTGGAAGATATTAATAATAAGTCATTCCTCTATATATATACTAAAAAATATAGTAATTTGAATCATATTTAGGTTCAGGGTAAGCGAAGCTTACAGGAAATGTTTGATGTCTTATCCAGATATTCTTTACTCAAAAAAATTATGGAATATTTTTTTCTAGGTGAAGAAAAAAAAATGAATAGTTGAAAACTAAGGCAGCGATCTCTTAATGGTGCACAAACCACTTTCTGGGATTCTCTGTATTTTTTGACACCCGAGCTTTATACCCCAATTTTCTAAGGTAAAAAGTTAATACTTTGGGTTGGGAAAAAGTTCTTATAAATCACAATATCGTACCATAAATAGATGTTATACTTTTTTTGTTATTATACATTAAAGATAAAATGGTTTTATGAGGGCACGTAAGTAAAGTGGTAAACGCATCCTTAAAGAGAATAACAAACTTGATTTGTTCAACATCAACTTTAGAAGATATGTATTCAATGATGCTTAAAGCAAATGAAGCAAAGAGCCACATTTCTGTATCAATTGCTTTGTTATCAGATTTGGTTATATCAAACAGTTTCAAAGAGTCTTTCAAACTTAGTGACTTCTTCAAACGAGTAGGTGACAAAAGTGCATACTCTTAAACAACCGTCGGATTTCCGGGTGAAATCGTGACACACTTTCGTCTTTCGTAGGCAGTGGTGGTTGTTACAAAAGGTAACTTCGAATGTAGCGTGAAATCTGCAAAAAAAATTCTGAAATTTGAATGGAGAACACAAAAATTGAATAGTTTACGTCAATAAAAAAGAGAAAAATGAAGCCAATGTGTCTCGAACCTAGGACTTAGAGCAGCAATCCAACTGTTTATCCCATTACACTACATGCATCTCTCACCTCAGTGAATGAGATCAACTATATGATAACTTTTTCCCCATTATATTCTTGTGGAAAAGTGACAAATAGCAACTTTGACCCTCTCTCCTTCTTCAAACATTATATCCAAACACTTCCAGATATAGATAAATTTAAGTCGGCACTTGTTGAAGCAATTCTTAAAACATCACTTGAGTATATGTTCAAGTATGAAAAAGAAGATTCAATTGTTATTTCTATTTCTACATTCATTCTTAATATTTTGAATGCAATCACAGAAAAAGATCAATATTTTGTTTTGGACAAAATCCATGAAATTCTGAAAAAGATTGCAGAACGTTCAAATGTATTGATCTATATACAGATGTTTGTTGTTTTTGCATTGAAAGTTGACTCAATGCTTTTAGAGGATCCGAACCTGAAAAGTTATGAACATTTTGATCAGATCACAAATTGCATTTTCCATTTATTTGATCATCTCGAACATGATGATATTCATTATACTTTATATCAACTTATTTTGAATGCTATCAGCATTATATGCATTTGATTCTTTCAAACTTAGTGACTTCTTCAAACATTATATCCAAACTCTTCCAGATATGGATAAATTTAAGTCACCAGTCGTTGAAGCAATTCTCGAAACATCACTTAAGTATTTGTTCAAGTATGAAAAAGAAGATTCGATTGATATCAGATCTGATTATATGCATTTGATTATTTCAAACTTAGTGACTTCTTTTAATTTACTAGTCAAAATCAAAAAGAATATGTTTAATAAACAGAATTTACATTTGAATAAGGGTTAACAAGTTGGTCCTGTGTTGAAACAGGAGGTGGAGCGTAAGGAGAGTTATTCATCGGTGGAAATGGTTGTTGAGCACCTTGGTATGGATTCATGACTTGTTGAGGCTGATACTGGTTTTTGTTGCCTTGCAGATACTGCATTTGTGGATCTGGATAATCAATTAATTGACCTTGTTGCTGTTGGTAGAATGAGGAGTTGAGTGGTTCCTGTAGCTGTTGTGATAAGTTAGAGTCACGCACATGAGACACGCGCTTTCTGTATACGAAGTAGCAGCAAAAAATAGAAACAAAAATAGTAAATGAGAACATACAAGCGAACATGATTAAAAAGGTGTTACGAGAACGACTGCCTGAGGAGGAGTTTCCGTAGCATGTAGAATAGACAGTTCCTGAGAAATATGCTTGGGAAATGAATCCTGAATCGGTCAAAATTTGGAATTGATGATAACCACATGATCCGCTAATACTTCTATCAGTAGAATCGTAGATGCTGTATTTGCATGTAGTATATCCGGATGAAAACTTGGAAACAAGTACGGTTGGGCCGTTGAAACTTTTAATTTTCTTAGAATAGTCAAAAACGTAGTTAGATTCAATGGCATAATAAGTTATTGAGCTGTACGAACTTGTTAACTCAACTGAATCAGGTAGATTTTGTGTGAAAACACAAACATTTGTTGAAGAATACGGTTTTACTTCAAATTCTGTATTTCCGTATGTTAAATATGAGTATTGGCATAGTCCTTCTTCTAAAATGTAAATGTTAAATTTAACAGTATCATAATTTGAAGCAAGAGAAATTTTAATGTGTGGATATTTGAATAAAAAGGCACTGTTGGAATATCCATTCGTTTTGTACATGTAGCCTTTGTCTAGAAATGAGAAGCTTAATGTAGGGGCTGAATATGTGCTCTTATCAGAATGAGAAAAATAAACAGAAGATCCGTTGATTGTTGGATTGATTTCAATCGCTGTGTTAGTGGAGCCTAATTTTACTGTGTAAATACCTCTTTGATTATATGTATTCAAGCAAATTAACGTGAACATAAAAAAAATCTGATTTTTGCCAAAAAATTTTTGTTCCCAGATCCGCTATGAACGCTTCATAATCAAAATTCATGTTAATGGTTAGCTAGTTTGGACTTTTGGGCAGCAAATGATTCATTAAATTAACTAAATATAGAAAATGAAAATATATTATCAACAAATATTCATACTTATTAAATATAAAGTATTTGCCTCAATTGTGTTGATGCAAATTAGATAGACGATCAACATCTAATCTATTATATTTACCAGATAGGATTTTTCGAAAAAAATTAGTATCAAAGTGACAATAATCTTTATGGATCGAATTTGTTAGCTCTACAAAAAACCAATAGGATTGATTGAAATCATTTTCCTTGGAAAATTTTTGGTAAATTTCCGCTAATAATTCACTCTGAGAGGTCTAATTGCGCAAAATATTGAACAATGAATATCAGGATCAATATTTTCGATATGAAAATACCTCACATCAAATATTGTAAAATTGGACGGTTTTGACAGTTGTTCTCATGTCCAACGGCATGGAAGACTCATTAAACGAAAACGATCTTTTATTCCAATCTTATTACCAAGAATTACAGCTCATCTTTAACAATGTTGATGCATCTGTTATTAAAACTGCAATTCTCGATTATAAAGAATGGGATGCAATTGTCCAAGCTCTCATTCAAAAAGATGATAAAAAAGATCGGTTTCTTGATCAAAATGAACAAGAATACGAAGAACCTGAGCGTCAAACCTCAAACTTACAATTCGGTTTTCCTACGAACGCTACAGTCTTTGAAACGCAATGTCGCTTATACTTACCAGAGTCCCTTATCTCAATTGATATGGACTTGGATTTGTTCGGTAATTTCGAACAATCAGATATTAAAGCTTTACAGCAAAAGCCTTACATAGCACAATCGATAAACGCAGCTGCAATGGTGCCATCACACATTCCAGCACGTGCTAGCAGCGGCCAAATGTTTTGATTCCCTATTTAGAAAATCTATGGTCGCAGGTTTTCTGATTTTAAACTTATTTATTATTATTTTCTTTCAAAGTAAATTTACTGTTTGACTTTATTTTTCTCAAATCTTGAATAAGGAGTTCAAAAATTTATTGTAAATTTCTTGAATCTTACAAAAAATGCAGAATTGATTATCTTCCATTTAAGCAATTAATGGATTTTATGATAGTTGGCTGTCTTAACTCCATAAACATCTAAAATTTAAATCAAATATTTCACTGTTATGAATGTTCAGGTCTTGAATTCATATAAATTTCACCAGTTCTTGATATCCTAACTGGCCGAATCAACATATTTCTTAAAATATTTGATACAGACCATTCAATATAGCAAAATCCATATGTTCAATTCAAAATTTGGACTTTTTTAGATGAGACAGATTTGTTCCAATAAAAACATTGTTTCAATTTTGAAGATGCTGTTAGGATCATTTACATGCCTTTATTATCTGGCCAATATCAGTTTCGAGTAATCCTAAAATGGAATAAAAATCAGATTCTTACTGGAATTTCCATATATCAAACAATTTTTGGTACATCTCAAAAAATAATACTTTAATTATTTGAAAGAATTCGTACATTTATTTATATTTATCAAATATATTAGAAATAATAGCAAAATCATAAGAGTATATATGAGAATTAGAAACAGTAAGTATTTCAAGCCAGTCTTTGACTTTATCTGGAGTTGCAATCGGGAAATCGAGATTGCCTAAATAATCAACAACGTTTTTGATATGAGCCAATACTTCTGTACCGAAATTAATAACTTTCTGATCAGATCCAGAAAGAATTGATATCAAAGACAAAGCATTGAAGTATATATCAAGTTGAGATTCAATACTTTGGCACTGATGGTCCAAAATTACGTAACTTTTCATAACATCTATAGATTCTTCAACAAAACCTTTGTTGAAGTAAGCACAAACGGCAAGAGAATATATATCAAATGTTACATCTGTAAGGAACTTCTTATTTAATTCAATAATTATTTCAGATGTAACATCAAAAGCAGATAAATGGGGCAAAAGTGATTGGAAGCCTTCTAAGTCTGTAACATATTGCAATATTTCGTTGATTTCGTTTGGAGGAAGGATCTCACAAAGAATTGATACTTTTGTTTTGTCTGGAACATTCGCAGAGGCTTTCACGAGGTTAAGAGCAAACTTATAATCCATTTTATTGCGAACACACTGGTTTACAATTGATTTCAACATGGTTTCGCCGTATGGAATATAAGGTTCATCGAAAACAGTCCTCAAAAACGATTCAGAGAGTTCGTATGTGGATACAAACTTTGTTATATCATCATTAAGTGTACTAGACCTCTTTGACATCTCATTTTCCAAAACTTTTCTGAATGCAGTAGGGAGAACATCGTCATTTGCTGTTTCCAAGAATACTTCTGTGATAGGAGTGCTCTTTGGAATGTTAGGAACGATGTTTGCAAATTTATTATGTCCACATTTTGAGAAAATCAATTTGAAGACGTCATCATAAGGCCACAATGCAGCACAGTTCTTAACTGTCTCGTAATCATTGCTGTCCAAGGCTAATTGAGTAACTAAAAGTGAAAAATCATTTCTATTATTTATAATTTTGATAAAATTAAAGCCTAAAGCCGAATTTGGACTGTGGCGTACAATATTTTCGACAAGTTCGGATGTTTTCTCGGGATGTCCAATGTAATTTATTGAATTTTGGAAATTATTGAAGTTTTGTACAAGAGTTTGTGGTTCTATATTCTGTTCAATCGTTGTTAAGATAGCTGTAGATATATCCGGTTGATTAACAGACTTTGATGCTGCAAAGAAATGTTGAATAAGTAAATCTCGGGAATCTTTAAAGAATAAAGCAACCGAAATATTCGGAGTAAGCCATTCACTAACTTGCTTTACAGAATCTGGATATAATTTGAGGGATTGAGGAACTAAAAGTAAAATTTCGTCAAAATTAATTTGCGCAAAATTAGAAATTAGATTTGGTTTGCGTGAAAAAAGTGTAACAGCTGTGAATCGTAGCGCAATTCCACGCAACGGATGAAAAACTGAAATTAATGAACCCAAAGCTTTGTTTATTTGATTGATATCTTCGGTAGCAGATGAAATTAGCAATGCAGTATAAAGTCGTGGAATCAAAATTTCATTTTGAAAAGCAAAATCGAAAGCTTTTTGTAATTGTTCTTGTGAAAACTTGTTTTTGTCAGAAATGCATTTCTGAAACGCGGAGAAATATGTAAGGCATTCAGAATGAACTTGAACATACAATTCGATTGGAAGATTTGAATTTAATATTTTTAAAACTGAAAGAGAATTGCTAACAATTTGAAATATGTCAACTGAATCATATAAAACATCATCAGCCTTTGCCAACTGGTTCTCAAAATCAGTGATAATTGCTTCAAAATCTTGCATTTTTTTAAAACTTTTTTTGCCTTATCGAACTTTACAATTTGTAAACTTCGAAGAATTTGATTCGACCAGACATATGTTATTCTCTTGATTGATTTTCCACCACTTGATCTTTGTTAGTCAGATTCATAGAATGTTTAAATAATTATCTCCTTTGGAGAAAGAAATACGTTATTATATCCGAAATCTTTTGGTTTTTGTTTTTTTACATATGTATTGTATAGCATCCATTTCTCCCAATGATTTATATGGTAAGGTAAAATTGGGTCCTTTTTAAAATTATTAATGTCTGACCAAGACATTGATTCGAATAAATACAGCAAATTGCGAGGTATCTATAAGTACTACATCGATTCATACAATGCACTGTATCAGCTAAAAACGGGAAAAGACGAAGAATTAAACGAGATTTACAAAATGATCAAAACAGAATTGATTGATTCAAAGAAATATCCACCTAATAAGATCATGAAAGATATTTCAAATATCATTCAGTATAATAATCGCTATACAAAGTCATATTTATCTCTTGCCAAACTTATATATGATGATTATCATGTTCAAGCGGTCAATAATGTTGAGTCTGCTTTTATATACCTGTTTTACAAAGAATACAGTATTAAATTAGACGAATCTGTTGATTTCGAAAAGATTAAATTTAAAAATCTGGACATTCATGCAGAAAATGTAATTTACAGAGCAATTATGAATAATGACAAAGAAAGATTCATCACATTCACAGAAAGAGATGGATTTGATAAAAAACAAAAACTTAAAAGCGATTTATATCCATATTCTAGGAAAGGACATTCATTACTTGAATTATGTTGTTACCATGGAGCAGTTGATTGTTTTAAGTTTTTAAGAACGAAATTTGACTCAAAAATAACTCAAACATGTCTAGAATTATCATTTTTAGGTGGAAATCAAGAGATCATGAGTGAATGTTTGAAATATAAAACTCCAAATAGAGAATGCATGAGATATGCTATTATTTTACACAACATTGATTTTATTACATTCTTGATGAATGAATACAATTTGAAGATTGATTTATGTTATTGTGGAAATTACAATAATCTTGAATCATTTTTAGTTTATTTCGATCAAACTAATTATATTAACAAATGCTTTGCTTATTCATGGATGTTTAATATTCCATCCTTTTGCGAATACTTCCTTTCACATGGTGCAAATATTAATGAAAAAGATATTTGCGGACAAACGGTACTTCGTATTGCAGTAGATAGAAATTACAAAGAAATATCTGAACTTCTTATTACACATGGTGCAAATATCAATGAAAAAATTGATTGTGGAAGAACCGCACTTCATATTGCAGCAAAGAATAATAATAAAGAAATAGTCGAACTTCTTATTTCACATGGTGCAAATATCAATGAAAAAGATAATAATAAAGACTCTGCTCTTCATACTGCAACAATACTTAATAATAAAGAAATTGCAGAAGTTCTTATTTCACATGGTGCAAATATCAATGAAAAAAATAATGATGGATACACAACTCTTCTTCTTGCAGCAAAGAATAATAATAAAGAAATAGTCGAACTTCTTATTTCACATGGTGCAAATATCAATGAAAAAGATAATAATAAAGACTCTGCTCTTCATACTGCAACAATACTTAATAATAAAGAAATTGCAGAAGTTCTTATTTCACATGGTGCAAATATCAATGAAAAAAATAATGATGGATACACAACTCTTCTTCTTGCAGCAAAGAATAATAATAAAGAAATAGTCGAACTTCTTATTTCACATGGTGCAAATATCAATGAAAAAGATAATAATAAAGACTCTGCTCTTCATACTGCAACAATACTTAATAATAAAGAAATTGCAGAAGTTCTTATTTCACATGGTGCAAATATCAATGAAAAAAATAATGATGGATACACAACTCTTCTTCTTGCAGCAAAGAATAATTCTAAAGAAACAGCCGAAGTTCTTCTTTTACATGGTGCAAATATTCATGAAAAAGATGAAGATGGAAAGACCGCTCTTCATACTGCAGCAGAATATAATAAAGCAGAAACAGCCGAAGTTCTTCTTTCACATGGTGCAAATATTGATGAAAAAGATAATGATGGAAGAACCGCTCTTCATCTTGCAGCATATAATAAATGTAAAGAAATAGTCGAAGTTCTTCTTTCACATGGTGCAAACATCAATGAAAAAGATAAATATGGAAGAACCGCTCTTCATCTTGCAGCATATAATAATCGTAAAGAAGCAGCTGAACTTCTTCTTTCACATGGCGCAGACATCAATGAAAAAGATAATGATGGAAGAACTGCTCTTCATTATGCAGCAAAGTATTATAATGAAGAAACAGCTGAAGTTCTTATTTCACACGGCGCAAAAGAATAATATTTCTATATAAGATGCTATTCTTTCTTATCTGATATTTTCGATTATGAATCAGAATGGAATTTAATAAATAAAATTTATACATGATCAAATGATTTTATATTGATAAATTATTTTCCTTTTTTTATATAGGTCATTAAGAGTTTTATTCGCAGATAAGCTATTCATACTCTTGATTCTTTCACTTGAGATTAAATTAAAAATCATCAATTGGTCTGGCATTTTCAACGCATTTTTAAATATGCGTCATCTTTTGGCACATATGTGAAAATTTTCTAAAATGAGTGTATAATATTTACTTTGCAAAATTTTGGATCGACAATTTTTTATAATTGGTTGAACAAATGTTCATTCTTTTTCCAACTAGATTTTTCCATTCAATATCCTATGTTGAAATAATTATCCGCTGTAAATTAGCTAAGATGTTCAAATATAGAGTGTTATGCGGTCCATTTTTACAACATTTATTAATTTCATTAAATTTATGGATGATAATAGTGATTTTAACAAACAAAATATCAAATAAATGATTTCTTATTGAAATCATGAATTTTTTAGATTGCTCAATACTAATTTTTTATATTTTATTGCCACGAAAGAGAAATAACTTGATGAACCGTGAATAAAAATCAAGAATTTAACATTAATTTGTTGTGATTTTGTAATTCAAAAATAAGTAAATTATTTAGAAAAGAGCAAGTAGTAAAATATAAATAAAAAATAAGTACGCGGAATTACTGGGCTAATCCCCACATTCCATTCATAACATTTGCCCATTCTTCATCAGACTTAATATATTGGCTATATTCTTGGAAATATGTACTAAATCCAGAAAGTTGGAACTTTCCATCTCTATCAGCATCAAAGCATTTCATCATGTGTGATTTAAATATTTCTTTTGTCATTCTTCTGCCGAAGAAATTAACAAAGTCTCCATCTCCGAAGCGAGTATCAAGCTCGTCAATATCTACAACATCATCACCATCGGTATCAAGTTTTTTGTAGGCGCCTTGTATAAATTTCATTCTTTCTTTAGGAATTGCAGGGCTGAAGGGTGTCGGAAAGTGAGGTGACGCGATTTCGAGTATTACTCGTATCTTCTGTTGTTGTAAAGATATTAATGATATTGAAATCTTCGATACTTCCAGTCTATTGAAATTTTTTTACTAAGCTTTAAGGTAGGTTATCTTATATCCCGATTTTTATGATAAAAAGGAAATATTTTTGATCGGCAAAAAGCTATTATAATTTTTCATATATTATTAATATTTTAGCTAAATATTTTATATCAGCAATAAAAAAACTTGCAATACATGGATAATTATTTGGTAAATTAAGCTTTGGAGCAGTGCATTCACAATACTTTAGACTAATTAAAAAAAATATCATTAGTTATTGTCATTTGGTTCTGAATCTCCGGTGAAGCTTCGGATACGACCGAACAATATCTATCGTCTGACATTCTTTCAACCACTAAATTTAATAATTAATAATAAATGATTTTTGTGGCTAGTTATTCAGAGTTAGATTATGCCATAATATTTGCTAATTTTAACGAGTTCATTGAATTTTGATTTAAAATTATTCAACAATAATAGTGTTATATTAATACAAGTTAATAATTAAATTTCCACTAAGAATATAATATCGATGAAATATTCAAAATAAAAATTGAATGGTGTAAATATTGGATTAGAATTGTAAATTTCAGAAAATATGGGATCCGATTGAAAAGAATCAGAAATTTTGAGATACTTGTATCAACAAAATGTGTAGAAAAAAAAAAAAAAAAAAAAAAAAAAAAAAAAGGTAGTGGGGCTTCCAGGCACTTCGTGCCCTCTAGCCCCGAAGATGTTTAGTATAAATGAAGTTCTTATATACGGGTCTTCCAGGAGCTTTTCACAAATTATATATGTTTTCATGTTTTGTCAAGACTTCTTCGTAAAATCAGACAAAAATAATGTTTAGGGTAGAAGGTTAGATATAACCTCTTTTCTAACCTCTTTTCTACCCTCTTGAATTTTCAAGACTTCTTCGTACATGTTTTGTCACTTTTCTGTCACTTTTCAGGAAAAAAATTTTTATTATTATATATAAATGAATTTTACAAAGTTACCGTTCTTTGGAAATAAGAGTAAATGTAAAGATATTATATTGAGAGAACTTAAGAAACTACCGAATGGTCTAACATTTGTAGATTGTTCGGTGGAAGTTTCTATATATCCCATTTGTGCCATACTGTATTTCCTGACTCAAAGATTATATGCAATGACTTCGACAACTATATGAACCGTCTCAAACATATTCCAGACACTAACAAAATATTGAAAGAGTTAAAAGAAAAGATACCTATAGGTAAGATGGAACGTATACCATTAGATAAGAAAAATATTGTGAGAGAGGTTTTGAAAAAAGCAGAATATATAGACTGGGATAGTATATCTGCTAGACTATTATATAGTGGTGCTATAAGAGTTCATGACATTGAAACACTTATGTCAAAAGTTTTATATCTCAATTATACAAATGTTTTCAAAGAGGACATAGAAAAATATATTGAGGGTATAGAGTTTGTGAGATGTCATTGGACAGAGTTGTATGAAAAATATAAAGACAAGGAAAATGTTTTCTTTATGGTGGACCCACCGTTCTATAACACATGGGATTTTCAATACCAAGTAGACTGGACTTTGAGAGACTCTTTAGAAACTTTAGACGTTTTACATAACCATCCATGCTTTTACTTTACATCCGATAAAAGTGGTTTGGAAAGTGTCATGAGATGGTTAGAGGACATACATGACTATGAGTTTATATATGACAAGATAGAATATGAGAGAGGTCCTATAAACTGGAGAAAGTGTCATAACAAAGAAATTTTATAGTAAGTAAATGTGGTTTGAAATAGGACTACTTGTTTTAGGTTTTTTCCATTGTGTCATTTACTTATTTGACGTGGCAGAAAGATATAGAGAATATGAAGATGAACCAATGCCTGCAAATGTTCAGTATATGTACTCGTAAGAGATATTTTTATCTAATATTAAATGGACGCACAGAACTTAGCGAATGCACAGCAACCTGGACAACCAAACCCAGAGAATATTCCAAATGAAGTTAGAATACAAACTGCAATGGCAAACTATGGTCAAGTGCCAACAGATGTACAAATGCAAACTGCCATGTCAAATGACGCTGCGTTAGGTTTGCCACCATGGTATGCAAATATGAGATGGAAAGAGTTTTATACAAACCCTGAAGTGGGATATAAACAACTTTATGCAGATGACGCGAACACAGGAGTTGACCCAGAATATGTTTTCTACCAGAGGAGAAACAGAATGTATGAGCTCCAGTTAAAGAATGCTATGGAACTCAACAGGAAACGTAAGAGACTAGGCGGACATTAGATTTTTACATATAGTAAAATGGGTTTCTTCAGTAAGATAGGAAACTTCTTTCGAAATGTTGGAAGAGGTATATGGAATGGAATAAAAACCGTAGGAAGAGGAATTTGGAACGGTGTCAAAAATATTGGTAAAAGAGTAGGTCAGTTCGTTGGTATTATACCCAAAGACCCTGAACCAGAAGAGCAAGCTCCTGTTATACAACAGCCTGAACCTGCACCACAGTCTAGTTGGCAACCAAATCCAACACCTCAACCGTATTAAAAAATTATATTTTTACTGTTCGATAGTAGTTGTATATGAAACTAAGTTCTAAGTAAAACGCATGGTATAATGGAATTATTCTTTTTCTTCCATCTGTAGTAAACCATACTTGAAAGTCTGAAATACTTCCACTTGGTGGTTCGTATAACTTTGTAGGTTTTTCGTAAAAGTCATTTGCCAAGCATAAGAAAGAGTTTTGGGCGCCAGAAAATGAAGCATGAACTATAATAGCAGCTGGGTCGAAAACATCTTTAAATAAATATGGTTCATCTCTTGCATATCGACTGTAAATATTTGCTAAAGGAAGTTCGACTTTCTGATTTAACATTCTTTGCAAATAATACCATGACATTGCAGTGAATTCTGTATATATTTGTTCGTCTTTCTTTGGATTGTCTTCGTAGATTTGAAATGACACTTGTGAATTTTGTTTGTCATATACAATTCTCACATAAAGTGTGCTCTCGGTATTTGCATATTCATCAGCATATTTTGCATAACATGAATTTATTTTATCTTCTATATTTTTTAACGCAGTCTGTAGAGAAGATGAAAGGTCAACTTGTATTAGCTCAATTTCTTCCCACATTTTTCGTTTCCCTTCAGATATATAATCTATATGAAACCTTACAATAAATGGAAAACTTTTATCTTCTACAGACACAAACTTCATTCTACGAAAGCCAATAGCTTTTGTGACAGATGGGTCTCTTAGCCATCTTAATGGGTAGTCAAAACGATAGCCTTCATGCTTTACGGTCTCTGTCTCAAACTTTTGACCGACATTCGTAAAAAGTTCATCTAATGGTTTAGTTGTAGCAACTCTTGAATTTTCTTTTTCTATTGAAAGCATATTTTATCTAGAATAAAAATGTCGAAAGAAACAGCGTCTATGAGAGAAATACAACACAACCGACAACTCATTATGCAAGCTCTAAATAAGAACACAACAAACTTTTCAAACTATTCTAAGATATCTGAGTCATTGAAAGAAGGAAACTTAAAACTGACGATAAACCCATGACAGACGAGTTTCTGTTTCAAGACAGTAAGAACCATACTGTTTGTATAAATCCAACAAAAAGAACTTTAAACGAGAAACCTATAGATGAACTTCTTTTGAAAGCAGATATTGACAACAAAGCTGACAAAGAGTATGTCATTGAAAAAGTTCAAGAAGAACATGACAGAGCAGATGCAACATATGCAACAAAAGAGGATGTTGAAAAGAAAGCTGACAAAGAGTATGTTGACGATGAGTTAGCATATCTGGCTAGTGGGTTAGTGAAGAAGGCAGATAAGGAATATGTGGATGAAAAAGACAATGAAATTATAAAAAGGGTTGAATGGTACCATGAACGGACATCGAAGATTTTAGAAGGTAAAGCCAATACAGGGTGGGTTTCAGGATGTTTAGACCTTAAAGCCGACAAAGAAACTGTAGATATGTTGACACAAACGGTTTCAAGTCATACCAGAGGTTTAATGGAAGATGGACAACAGTTGAAAGAGCTTGAGAAAGGTGTTACAGAGTTAAGGAATACAAAAGCAGACTCGACATGGATAAAAGGATATGTAGATGCAACAAAAGAGTATTTTTCACATGGACAGAAGGAACATACCCACAAAAATATCATAGACATAGCATCTCTGACGTAAATGAACTTGAAGAAAAGTTATATAAAAAAGCAGACAAAACAGAGCTTCAAACATTAAAGACAGAAATACTTCAAACAGTATATCCTATAGGTTCTATTTATACGTCAATGAACTCTACCAGACCAGAAGTAGTACTTGGTTTTGGAACTTGGACTCAAATAGTCGACAGGTTTTTGTATTGTGCAAACTCTTCAAAGGAAACAGGTGGAAGTAAAACGATTTCAGGTGAAAACCTACCTGCACACAGTCACTACATAAATTTAACTACAGCTGAAGCAGGTTGGCATAAGCATAGATATTGGGATTGGACAGGAATGACAAAAGGTAAAGGATATGATGTTAAAGACGACGTTAAGTTTGCTATAAATTGTTACTGGAGATGACACTCAGGGAGGGAAGCCATACACATCGCATTACAGGATATCAAACAACGGGACAAGTAAAGACTACATGCCACCTTACATGACAGTTTACGCATGGTATAGAATTGCTTAGTCGTCATTTTCAACTTCTTTAGCATATTCGTCAGGAGTTGTCTTATATTTGTTAGGAACTGTCTTTGAAAGTATACCACCTTGAACTTTGACAAGTTTGAAACGAGGTCTGACAATAGTAGTTTTATCTTCTGCTTGCAGTCTGTACATTTTGCCATGTTTGCCTAAAACTTCATAATATTCTCTTGTATACTTTCTTCT